GTATTAATTAATAAACTGGTGATTAGCCATTTCAAGAAGAGGGGAGCAATGCTCTTCCTGGAGTAGGATGGGAATGGTAGCAGCCATAAGCATCCAGTATTTAGCAGTGTGAGGAAAGTTTCCATGTGGGCTGTGTTTGTGCTGGTGGAAATAAGATGGCTGTGATTAGTGTTAGCTGTTTGTGTTCTTGGTTTGTTAGGTCTCCTAGTGATCAAATTGAGTTGAATCCAGGGGAATTGAGTTTATTTTGGTGTGTTCACGGTTTTAATTAACAGAACGTTTTCATTGGATCCAAGATCTCAGTAGAAACAGTGGTCTGCAAAGAAGTTTTAATTATCTACGTGTGTGTTAGTGTAAAACTCCAGTGCACAGAAAGATTTCTTTGTGATGTGCTACCAAACCAAATGGTCAACCATATTTCTACATTAAAAATGTAGAATAACAACAATTTTTGCCCAAAATATTTTTTTAAAAAAATCACTATGAGGCCAGTGTAAGCAACCAGGAGGTACAAGTAAAAGTAGGAAAAGATGACTTCAGCTTTAAAAGGTGTAGATCTCCAAGCACTGGCAGTTAGGGCACTGTTGGATTCATACAGATGCAGTTACCACATGCTTTGGGAGGGCTCAAAGGAAGTGAAAGGATTTTGCAGGTTTTGAGCAGATCCTCCCAAGCCTGAGTGAGACAGCATTTAAGAGGAGGTGCTACAGTTTGGATTTGGTAAGTTTTGGATGAGACCAATACTATAATGTGGTTGGGGACAAGAGTCTCTTCGTACTGGCAGAGGGATGGGTGCTTGGTGTCATTTCCACCTCAGGGAAGGAAGCAGTGATCTTGCATATGTGGTGACCACCTCTTCTTGGTGTCACCCTTGGAGCAGCTTGGTTACCAGGAACTGCAGTCAGTACTGGTCTGTTACTGTCTGTTGGGGCACTCCAGACAGAAAGTGTTTTGGACCTGTTTAGCATAAGAGATCTGATAATCAGGATGCCTTGGCAAGAACAAACAGAGCTCTGAAGACTGAATCAAGACTGTCTGACAGGAAGGAAGGTTGAATCAACTTCTGCAAGCAAGAGATGTTGTACAATGTATATGTGGTGATCAGCCCAATCATTGTAGTAAAACATTACAAGCGTCCCTAGAATAGTATATAAGCATATGTAGCCTGTGGTTGTGTTTGAGGGTCCCAGGACGAGGGAAAAGATGAGAATCTTGACTCAATGGTTCAGAAGGTTGATTTATTATATTATGATATTATAATATATTAAAATGCTATACTAAAACTATATACTAAAAAGAGTAGAGAGAAAGAACCCATCAGAAGGCTGGAAAGGAAAGGAATGATAATAAAATCTTGTGACTGCTCACAGCCTCAACACAGGTGGCTGTCATTGGTCATCAAGTAAAAACAATTTCACATGCTGAGTAGACAATTCTCCAAATCACATTCCAAAACAACAAAACATGGAGAAGCTGAAGCTTCCCAGCTTCTCAGGAGAAAAGATCCTGGCAAAAGGATTTTTCATAAAATATGTCTGTGACATTAGTCCACCGTAAATTTGGATTTTGATCACCAGTCTTCCCCATCTCTCATCACCAATAACTGTCTGTCTGTCCAAAGCAAAAAGGACATGACAATAATGAAGGCCGAGGTACAAACTCGAGGTTTTAGTCCGGTTTCAGCTGAACAGGTGACTGGAAACTCTGAAAGACTCTGCCTTGACCTGGGAAGAGTTCAAAGTCAGAGGTGCTGCCCAGGTGTTGAGTTGGGGACACGTGGTGGGTACATGGTGGTAAAAGCAGTTGTGGAGGGCTCTGAGCTCTGCTTTAGTCCCATATAGTGTGAGCTGACAACTTAGCATTGACAAAGATGTCAGCTCAGAGGCTCTTCTTTGAACATAAGGAGACAGATCCTGAGCAGAGACACAGATCTGAGCAGTCAGTGCAGAGATGGGAACTTGAACTTGTTTTGCAGATGAGATCTCTGAGGCAAGATACCAAGGAAAGAGAGACCTGAGAATAGAGAGAGCACTGATGAAGAATGAAGATCTGTGATGGACAAATAAAAAAAGATTAGTATGTAAGGTTAGTAAGTTAGTAAGAATATGAGTGTCTTATCCTATTTCAAGAGCAGGAGGATTGTCTGGAAGGGAAGATGTAGATGGAGAGTTTTAATTGCAGTGTGGGGGTTGGAAATGGAGCTGGAGAAAGTTATTGTAGTTGGAGTAAAACTGCTTGAACAACACTAGAGATTTAAAAGAAATGGCTGAAGAGGCACAAGTGGGGTTTTTTCAAATTATTTTGATGATAAGTGAGAAAATGAGAACCATTTTTCTGCTGAAAAGAATAAAAGCAGCTGAAAGCTAGGTGAAGCTAGGTTCAGAAGGAAATACTGGAGCTACAGATGGTTTGACAGGGTAATGGGATCAAGGAGGATGCATGGGAGAAGAGCAAATATTTATTTTTGCCCTATGTACCTTGCTGACCTTCCCTTCCTAAAGCACTCTTTTCTCTCAGACAGTTTCCTGTGATCATTTTTTTCCTTTTGAGAGGAACTAAGGCTGAGTAAGCTTGAGGAATAGAGCAGTGTGTAAGTGTGACTGAAATATGACTCAAAATTCAACTTTCTCCAACTGGAATATTCAAATAGGTGTAGGAGCTTGGAAGGTGAATGTAATCCTGGTAAATGTGGAAAGAGGAGGAAAAGAGCTAGAGCTGGAGATGATCCATGTGGATTTTATTATGACAGAGGAGGCCAAAGAGCTCAAGGTAGTGAGAACAGCCACCATACCAGTAAAATATGGGATTAGAGGGCTGAGGGTGAACAACTGACAAATCTTGTGGTCTCTCTACCAAATAGTCAGGTTATGATTTAAGGAGCTTGTGTCTCATGTTGTAATGCAACAGAAGCAGGAAAAATAATTTTGAAGGTGTGAAAGAGGCAGAGGGGAGAAAATCAGCAAAGAACATTAAATTGAGCCAACAATAGGACAGATGAAAATTAAACTTGATAGCTTGATAGAAATATCTGTACAGGAATACATAGTTCCTTCCTTCCTAGACTAGGGAAGAAGCAGGGAGAAGTCCTTTTTTTTTTTTTTTCTTTTTTTTGCTTCACTACAGTTCTAGTGAGAACAGTGACTTCTTTAGATTAGGCAGATCTGTGCTACCCACTGCCTGTGTGTGGCAAGGAGTTCTCTGTACCATGTACAAGCAGACAATGTCTGTGCAGACTCTTTTCTTCCTACACGAATACTGAGGGCATCTTGCTTATTTTATGCTTGAAAGGGAGGTTTGTTCTGTGGTTTGGACCTACTACAATGGATTTTATTTTATTTTATTTTTCTTTTCTACACCATTAGCTGGAAAAAATATATAAAGCACAGCAGCTCTCAGTTCATTTATTTGATTGCTAGAAGTCTTTGTATGTTCCAAATAAATATTTGGTAGTTGTTTTACAAAAGAATATTTTTTGGCCCGTAGTCAGTAGTATGTACAAGAGAAAGGAAGCTGTGATAGAACCTCATGATGAAAATTCACCATCCCTACTCCCCACCCCCTTTGGGATGCTTTTTCTCTTGGAAGTGAGAGCAATGATGACGGGAGAATCTGAAGTATTAAGAGATAACCTGATGGGACAGAGGAGTTGGTGAATTTTGGAAGTGAACAGTGTGGACTCCGAACAGCAGAATTAATGAATGGTGGTTTCTTCTGGTTGTGGTTATTGCAATTACTGTGATTGGGTTGATCATCACATAAACGAACTTACACATTTTGCAACATCTCCTGCTTGTAGAAGTTGATTCAGTTTTCCTGTCAGGCAGTCTTGATTCAATCTTCTCTGTAGTCTTCAAAGCTCTGTTTGTTCTCGCCAAGGCATCCTGATTATCAGATCTTTTATGCTAATCAGGTCCAAAGTGCAACAGGTGGATTTTTCTTTTCTTTCTTTTTATCCAAACAGTCTTTGACTTGCATCTGTTTGGTCTGCCTACTTTGAGCTACTTTATTCAAAGTTGAGAAACAGATCAGTTGAGGTACTGATGGAGCAGGAAGGTTATTTCTCCTGTTCTAACACAGGGGTTTAAGGTACTGGAGCCCAGAAACATAGAATCCTATGGACAGAAGTAGGTTGACGTTACCACCTCTATGTTGAAAATCATGGTTTAATAAAAATCAAAACTTATATTTGAGGCACCGGGAACACACGTTACATGTACACCCACCCACACTGACTTGACAAGATTTTTGCTTTCACGTGGATGTGACATGAACCCTGACAGACATTCTCTTGTGATGTCACAAGATCATGCTTTGTTTTTCTACATAAATCTGGATGAATGCAGAGATGTAGCTGCCTAAATCTGGATAGGGATAGTGCACTGGCAGCTTAGAAGGTGCCAGATAAAGCACATCTTCAACACGTTTTCCAAATCGTGATGCACGTTACTTGTTAGGAAAACTATGGGTACAAGCACAACATCAATATTGATTACTTTAAATCTGGGGGGTGGTAGTGGTCTGTTTACTGTTTTTACTGTGCATAAGGTAGAAAAAATTAAAGTACTCTCATGCTTCTAAACTGTAACAGAGTGATTTTTGGTGAGGCCTTGCACATGCACACCTGGGAGCATGGCAGAGAGCAGGAGTATAAGGCATAGCTGGGAGTGAGAGAAGTTTGCTCCTCAGCTTTCTGGAGGTGAGCCTTTGTTTTACCTACAGCTAGGAAAATATGGAGATACGAAACAAAATATGTGCCAGAGAGGAAACTGAGTAATAGCCGGGCCAGGCTGTTAGTTCCTCTGATGAGGCTTCATTATTACAATGCCTGCTGTCAGCTGGTACGAAAAAGTATTAAACTCATCCTTTGCACCATAGAATTGACTTCCACAAAGTGTTGTAGAGGAAACATCTGTGAGTGGAAAACATCCTGTCACAGATAATGCAAGGAAGGAGAAGTGAATCTACTTGGCCTGCTCCATACTTGTTTGATTGAAGGTATAATGCAATGCCTGTGCAATCACCCGATGCAGAAGTCATTGATGCCTCTTCTCTTCTGCTCTTCTAGGCAGTGTGATGTGAACTTCCTCGTTCTCAAAGCAGCCCTGATGTGTCTTGTTCTCCTCCTTTCTTCTCTTTGCCTTTCCCATGCAGTCCAAGTATCAGCAGTAGAGGTCAACACCCCGGAGGAGATGTTTGTGGAGAACGGGACGGACGCGAAGCTCCCATGCACGTTCACATCCGTAGAAGTGATCAGCAGTGCAGCATCTGTCTCCTGGAGCTTTCAACCAGAGGGAGCAGCCACTCGTATCTCAGTAAGCAATGGTTGGAGGGGAGCACACCTGGGAGGGGAGGCTGGCATAGTTGAGCTGTGGTCTTCTAGTTGGTTCTAAGGAGCAAGCAGATATGGATTGGACTCTCATTCATGTGCCTTATCTTCATCACTGTGATTTTATGGGGCCTTTTTAGTGTTGTATGAAAATATTGCAGTCTGCTAGACCTCTGCCAAGACTGGAGTAGGCAGTGACCACAGAATACACTAGTTACTCTGTTAGTCTTAAAAGAGGGATGTTGGCATGGAAGCTGTACTATGAAGTAGATGAGCATCTAGGAATCTTGTAAATCCTCTATCCTTTTGCATTTGACTGAACATAGCAGTCACAGAATTTGAATTGCCACTGTAATTGCAGTGTTACATTGTGTATTGTGCATGTTGTTTATTTTGCTTGTGTACTGTATAGTCTCTGTTTGAATGGGTTTCAAGTAAGACCAGTCTCCCTGGTTTCAGAACAGAATTGAATAGCTCAAATTAGTAAGCAGTTACATCCTCATATTATAGTTACTTGACAAGTGAAAAATCAGGCTAGCAAGGAACTTAGGCAAATAATAGTTGTCATTGCTCAGTTCCTGTATGTTGTGCCCAAGGGGGCTCAGATCCTTTGGATGTTAAGTCTTCAAAGAAATGGCTTTGGTAGGTTGATAGCTGTCTTCTTCCTCTTCTTCCTCACACACTTCTGCTTCTTTCTTGTTCCTTGTACTGAGTGAGAATTTAGAGGAAGCAGAACAAGGAACTCTGGGACACCTTTGAAGGTGTGGGGACAGCAGGTTGCTCAGCCTGTTTGTGTTTGTCTCCTTCCCTCTGCTGCAGACATGAGCTCATTTAAACTCTAGGAGCTCTTCAATGCTCAGAGCAGAGATGGTCAAAACCAGCGTGTGAGCATCTTGCTCAGTATGTAGAGCTCTGAAGAACAAGCTTCTGAATTCAGTGAAATAAATATTTAGTTTTGAGGAGGGAGCGCTTCCCATTGGGAATGCAAAGCAGGAGTTGGGGAGAAGTTAGGGAAGTAGGGCATATTTCCTGGCAGTGCTGAACAGGATGGGTGAAGAGAAGCCATCTGTTGGTGTGTTTTCCGCTCCCCATATATCCTGTTTTGCCATTCCCTTTCTGCATCACTGTTCAGCTGTAAGAATACAGACAGCTTCAGCACATAACATTGTTTTTGGAGTTGAAGTCAGTTCAGGTGTTCCACCTGGATGTAGCTATCAGCACAACTGAAAGAAAAGCAAATTTTCTTTGAGCAGCAGGGACCCAGCATAATTTGATGTTAATTCCCTGTTTCTTTTGAGGGTCTGGAGAAGGTGTAGAGGGGATATTTGTTTATAGCTCCAAATCATGTCTTTGCATAGCTTGGTGGTTGTGAATTTGAAAGACCAATCTCATGACCAGTTTATGTCTGAGCTAAGCCCATGCTTCTCTTGACAAGGATGGTCCTGTGTCCCTTTAAAATCACACTGGAAATCTTGTGGCCATGTGGTGAAGCTGACTGGACTGGGAGCTTCCCCTGCTTGTCCCCTTCCCTTACCACGTGTTCCAAAGAAGTCTCATCTCACTCCACCATAGGCAAGGGATGGCTTGAGTCACTTAGCTTGTGTTTCAGGAGATATTTTACTTTGTGATTTCTCCTCCCCCAGGTGAGGGCATCTAGAGAGCTGAGGAATCTGCCTCTGGCCTTCTAGATTTTAGTGGGATGACTTCCCCTGTGCACAGGGGTGTGGTAATGCAGGGCTGCTGTGTTAAAGGTTACAATCCAGCTGGAAAAGCTGCAGACTGATTCAGAGTCCCTCCAAAATGTTGACAGCTGGCTGTGTGCTTGCCAGCTTTTTACCACATGAAATACTTCATTGAATTTACGTTAATCTGTAGACAACAAATAAGATTGACTGCAGCAGGACAGATGGCCATGATGTGCACATACCTGATCTGGACAAGATTTGTGCTGCCAAGTGATAAGGCCTGATATTCAGAGTGAGGGTGTTGAAATAGCAAACCTGAGATCAAGGGCAGGAAGAGGGATAGGAGGTGACTTGAATGGAAATATGACTGACTGTCTTGTAGGCAGTCTGTTCTGTGGCAGAGCCACTGCTTTGTAAATAAGGCAGGAGGAAGAGGAAGCTGGAATATTGTCCTAAATTTCTTTCATTGTTGTCTGGAGACTGAACTGAAGGGAATTTGGTTTGATTCCTGATTAGATTTATCTTGCTGTCCTGCAGGATATCCAATTAAGAAAGAATGTGCTCTTGGTATTCTCCTGCAGCCTTGATGCCTCTCTTAGGGTATCCCATGTGTTTGAAAGCAGAGTTGTTCTGTAGAAGTCTATGTACTTCTGCTGTAAATTCCAATTTTGGGCAGGTATAGTTAGAAAATACTCAGTTCCTTCTTAGTCTGTACTAAGGTATTCTTCAAAGATTTTTGGTCATGTAGAGGGAATGCAGAGCCAATGTGCAGCTTAGTCACTTAAAAACTGGGAAACAGTTATATTTAGTTACCTGAAGGTTTCTGGAAAACAGCTAGATATACTCTAAATTGGTCATGGGATTTTCTGAGGGGGTGGAAGGAAGGGAGAGTATTGCATGTTAATTTAGCTGTGCTTTAGTTGCAAGTAACACACAGCAAAACACAAAATGGGAAACTTGGTATCCTTTTTCTGTTAGGATGCAGGCGGCTTCCTGTGCCTCAAGACAGATGGCTGTGTTCCAGAACTGTTTTGTCCTTTAATTATCACCAGGTTACCAGGTTTTTTTCTTTTCTCCCCCTCCTTGTCTGCAAAACTCTATCCCCTGCAAAATAGAAAAAAGCCCCAGCCAATCCAACCGCAAAACAAATCAAAACCAACAGAAAACTGAAACTTGCAGTCTCTTGTCCTGGTATGGTTGAGATGTAAGCATGGTTATGTTATCAAGAGGCAACAAGGCAGACTGAAGTGGTGAGGCAGGAGGAGAAAAAACTCAGCTACTGGCTGTTTGTAACACAGCTGGCTCTGGGAGAGTGCTGTAATAGTGGGAGAAGCATGGTGGCTCCGTAGTTGCTAATTGAGTTGCTAATTGGATTGTTCTTATATCCTCTTTTCCTTGACTGCAGTTTTTCTATTACTCTAATGGGAAGTCATACCCTGGAAAAGACATACCATTTAAAGACAGGATCACCTGGGCTGGAGATCTTAACAAGAAAGATGCTTCTATCATGATATCAAACATGCAGTTCCGGGACAACGGCACGTACATTTGTGATGTCAAGAACCCACCTGACATTGTTGTCAAACCAGGAGAAATCCGAGTCAGAGTTGTGGAGAAAGGTATTCATTCACCCTGTATGATTATTTTTTCTTCTCACTTGTTTTTTCCCCCTCCATTCCTTGTCTAAATCACTTTTATTGGGGGTGGGGGAGAGGCCTGGAGGGAACAACTGGTTTTTAATTCTCTTCTTCCAGGTCCTAATAATGGAACCAGTATCTGTCAACTGTTTAAAAAGTATATGTCATACCCTTTTCCTCTATACCCTCCAATCCCTCTGGTTTAAACAAACAATTATTAGGAAAAACTGGTGGAAGGCTTAATGAAAACACATCTTCTCATTTTGAAGTCCTATGAGTATATTTCTGAGTTATGGTGCATCAAGGATTAGAATGACTTATGAAGTCTGGTGAGCAAGGAGAAAAAAGTAGCAGGCTCTTCTTTCTGAAACCCTTCTGGTGTATTTAATGGAATGCAAAACTATAAATCTAGTCCAAACACCCAGAAGGTGAAATGCTACTGTGTTCCATGCAAAGGTGTTTGTGTTGAATGTGCATTCAGTCTCTTTTACTCAGGTGTTCTTAAAGAATCCATGGTGGCTCTTACAAACTCCAAACAGGCTACTTGCCAGTTGTCACATGAGGCTTCTGGTTACCATTTGGTATCATTTGTCACAGTTGAAAAGCACTAAGATTCAGTTTGTCAATTTGGCTCTTTATTTGCCTTTATCATCCAAAATATTTGATTGTTCTACCTCAGCTGGAGGTCAGCCACAACGTCATGTTTTTCCTACAATGAAATGATTGTTACAGTAATTGCATTTTCAAATTCATAATTTAGGAAGGACAGGAATAAATGTTGAATTCATAAATGGCAGTGCTGATGCAGCTATTCCATTAGTTTTAATATGTTAGGGAAGATACCTATATGTGTGTCCTAATTGGAATGATTCTGCTGCTGGAGCAGGTGTGTACCCCTGCTCAGGAGGTCATTCCATGTTCTTATGTAGGCAAGGTCTCTATCTAATTTTTCTCTTCTTGGAACAGTTTGGGTTGAGCAGGGCCTCTGGAGGTCCAGCTGTCACTTAGAACTTTGTTTCTTGGAAGTTTGAAGCCTGTATAAAGTAGGATCTGTTTATTTTCTCACAATGATAGTCACTATGAAGAAGCAGTAAAGCAGCTGCTGGTTTGGCAAAGTCAGGCTGTCTTGGAAAAGCCTTTTCATATTTTAGCCCAGGTTAAACAACTAAAGACTGACCTCAGTACACTAATTCAGCTGATATTTTTCAACAGACTTGCATGCTGGCTTCCCCATAGTTGGGGCATCTGGACAAGAATCTGAGTCTGAATGGAGCCCTGTATTTGAAACACTTCTCACCATTGGAGAAAATGCTGCAACAGTTCTCTTCACATTTTTAGGAAGACTGTGAAAATGGGTTTTCAAGCTCTTTTAATATGTTGTAACTCATCCTGAGCTGAGCTGGAGCATTTTTTTTCAATTGGAATAAATACATGATGACACTGGTGCATATTGGTTTTTTACTATGTATGCATCTAATGGTTCTGAATCTGGTTTTATAAACTGTTCAAAACCACATTCATTGTTTGCACATTTAAATGATCTGATAGATGACAGGCTAGCTTTAGGTTTTGGATTAAACATTTAATAAGCTCCATGGTGGCCTAGTTTTTAAAAATTGCCAAACTAGCCAAGCTGATTTTCACCACAGTACCTACATGATGTTTGCACAAACAGCTCTATCAAGTGTGTTGGAACAATTCTACTGGCAGGGATGAAAAGCAAGACTGGTTTTTTCAATAGACTATCTGAATCTGGAAAGGGCTACCATTTAAAGACTAAACAACAGACATTCATAGGAGTTCCAAGTTCTTACATTAGGCTGATCCTGCTTGTAACAGGAAGCTGCTTAACACTGTGTTCAAGACAGCTTGTGTTACCTGGAGGTGGTTGATCTTTGATCTGACCATACATGGGGGAAAAAAATAGAATGGCATGAAAATCTTTGCACTTAGGAGCAATGGAAACTTCATTTTCCTGCCTCTTTCATAAAACTGATACTGACTTGCTCTCAGTGAAATAGAAATTGCTCTGAATTTCATAATAATCAGCGAAAAGTGTTCTCTGAATGGCTGGATTTTTGTTTTGTGTTGAGTTGTTAACTTAAATATTGGCTTTCAGAGCTGGTGTTTGGTTATGTAGCTGGGACTGTCTTTCATAATGAAGTCATTGGCTTCTCTGGAAGTGCTTATGAGGAAATTGTGTAACTGTGAAATGCTGAAAAATATAGGGACCATTTTCTGAAAAGCGATAAAGCCAGACTCTTAGTTTCACATGCAAACAACCAGCATTTTTTTATACAGTCTTAAAAATGTTTGCTGACGGGATCTAACTGCTGTCCATCACTCAGATTCAACCAACCAAAGAAACCTTCATAAAGTCAAAGAAGTGACAAAATGGTCAGAGTTCTAATCGCATTCTTTCAGCAGATACTCTGCACTATGATTTTGGATTGTCACTTGCTTCCTTGCTCTGATAAAATGTGTGTGTTTTCTGGTGCAAAAGGCAGCAACAGGTCTGCTATCAAAAATGCATATCTCTTTTAATGTTTTTGCAGACAGTTATTCCTGCACTTTTGGAAAGGTAAAAAAGCACAGAAACTAGGGAGCTGTTATATGCCTCAAAATAATTTCCTTCATTTCTTGCATGGGCCTCAAATCCAATCATATCTTAACATATCTGAATGTTACCACTTGTAGGACTCTCTTCCTTAATAGCAGGTGGATCCCTGGGCTGCTCAAAAGTTCTGGAAAAAATGTCTTCCTTTAAGTTGTGGTGCTCATATCTTAATTTTTAATTTATTTCTAAGACTCTGAATTCCCATATCTGTTAACTGATACATGACACTGGAGAGTCAGGAAAGCTGCTGCTTTGGTGTTTGGCTGAATGATGTTATGGTCAGTGAAACAGCCAGAAGTCAGGTAACCCTTCTGCTGAAAGCCACTGAATTCCAAAGGAACAGGACTAAATGTATTAAGCCCTGTTTTCTCAGTATGATGCCCCTGCTTCAGGGTGCTGCTGGTCTGTTGTTCCTGCTGAAACAAGTCCAGCAAAGGGCAACAAAGATGGTTAATGGACTGTGCCATCTTCTGTATGAGGAGAAATGGAGGCAGCTGGGATTGTCTGGCCTGCAGAAGAGAAGGTGGGGTGATCTAGCCTGCAATAGAGAAGAAAGACCAGAGAATCCTCCCACCAGCTGTTCATGTACATTGCTAGCACCTAAAGAAGACTGAGCCAGGCTCTTCAGCAGTGCCTAGTGTCAGGACAAGAGACAGTCTGCCTAAGCTGAAACACAGGAAATTCTGTCTACACTTAAACCCCCCCATTTTTACTGTGCTGGAACACTGGACTAGTATATGGTTTGGCACTGCCTACTTTTATATGGCAGAGAACCACGAAGATATCTCCTGTGAGAAGCTGCTGGCAGCTTCCCATCATGTCTGGCAGAGCCAATGGCTGATGGCTTTGAAGATGGACATGCTTCTGGCCAAAACTGGGCCAGTGAGAGAGGCTGGTAATGCCTCTGTGATGACATATTTAAGAAGAAAATCAAAACAAGGTCACAGGGGTTTTTTCTCCTAGACAGAGAAGACGAGGAGGTGAGAATATGTGAGGGAAAACAACATGGTGACAGCAAGGTCAGTGGGGAAGGATGTGCTCCAGACGCCACAGCCAAGATAGCTGTGCAGGCTGTGGTGAGGCAGCTGTGCCCCTGCAGCCCATGGAGATCCACAGGGGATGCAGAGAGGTGCCCATGCCAGAGTGGGTGGATGCCTGGAGGGAGCTGTGATCCAGTGGAAGACCCAGTGTAGAGAGGAGCCCCTGCTCCCAGGCTGGAGCAGCCTGTCCTTGGAGGACTGCACCCCGTGGAAAGACACCCATGTCACAGCAGTTTTGGGAGGACTGTGTGCCTTTGGGGGAATTCACACTGCAGCAGGTGTGGTTTGGCTGCTGCTTGTGGGAGTGAAGCCACTCTGGAGAAGTTCATGGAGAGCTGTCTCCCATGGGAGGGACCCCACAGCCCCATGGCAGAAGGACTCCTCTCCCAGAGCAGCAGAAGAAAATCTTGGTGACAAACTGACCAAACCTCCCATGTCCTGTCTCCTTGTACTGTTGGTGGGAAGAAGGGAGGGGCTGGGGAGGAGAAGGTATTTTAAGGGCTTCTTTTACTTCTCATTATCCTTCTTTGATTCAGTTAGTAATGCATTTCACTTTGCAACTGAAGTTGAGCCTGTTTTGCCCTTGAAATGCTTCTCCCAGTCCTTATCTCACTCATGAAACCTTTGTGAACTTTTTTTTTCCTTTTCCCTGCTTTGCCCAGCTGTGGCAGGGGAGGGTGAGTGCGTGACTCTTGTGGGTACCTGGTGTTGGACCACTGTCAAACCATGACAGCTAGGTTGTCTGAAGAGTCTCCCATCCTTGGAGATAGTCAAATCCAAAGTGGACACAGTACTGAGCAAACTGTGCTACTTGGTCCTGCTTAATTTAAGCAGGGGGTTTGGACTAGACAATCTCAAGACATCCCTCCCACCTCAGCAATTCTGTCATGATCAGATGGAGGTGTCTGAGACAGACTTTTCTATATAGGTGTAGGTTTTACCTGTTGGATTTTTTGCTGATTCACTTGTGTTTGGTATAAATAGCTAGAGCAGCATGGAGTCTTGTAAGAAACCCTCTGGCCTGAGATGTTCCTTGTGTTAACCATGATGTGGGGGGAAGGAAAGGACTTTGCTTCTCATTTGTAGTGGTAGTCTGTGTATTCTTTGACTTGTAGGTATTTTGTACTCATTCTCTGATTGGCTTTTGTTTCTGGCTGCTCTTTTTTGGCTACTCTCCCCCAAAATAATATTAGGGAAAACGTGAGTAAAGCAGTACTGTGTTCTTCTACATGTTTTCCTGGTATTGTACAATGATCCTGACTGAAGAAGGGAAAAAAATGAGCCTACAAAAATGTACGGGGCTGTATTTTGAGACACCAGAGTCACGTATAAACACTGCTAAGAGTGATCCTGGGTGGGAGCTCTGCTGTGTGCTGCATGCTCCCTGGAGAACACTCAGCATTCAGCACTCCTAGCGGGTTAGCAATGTGCTGTGTCCAAATCTGCCTTCAAGCGTGCCTGCCTTTTTCTGTTGACCTCGCTGGGAATTGCCAGATGGCTGTAACCTGTTATTTTTTTTCCCCTTCAGATACAATATGAGACAGGGTTGTCCTCACTGTCACTTGTATTCCCTACATGTAAAAACATTTGGTTCAACATGAACTCTCTCCTGAAGGACGGTGACACTAAGAACACTCCTGGTGTCTGCTCTGTTCATGTTACTCTGCTGGCTGCCTGCTGCCACTGCCACTTAGGCTGCATGCTGTAATTTCTGGGTATTACATTAGTGCCTCCTGCTCTGAAGGAATCCAGGCTCAAGGGCATTTGTGGTTTGCACTTGTGTTGAGCAGGGAATGCAGAAGAGTTGAATGTTTTCTCCCTTCTCTCCGCAGACAGCCTGCCTGCGTTCCCCATTGCCACCGTGGCAGGGATAGCCATCGGTACGGTTACAGGTCTCTCATCGCTCATCTCTATTGTCGTGTGTCTTGTCATCAGAAAGAACAACTCTAAAAAACGATACTCTGGGTAAGAGATCTCCCTCCTCACCCGTGGCTGATGTGAGGAACAGCAGCAGGATCAGAGGGAGGGCTTAAAGGGGGGTAGGAGTTGTTTCAGCCAAGCCTTGGCAATCGCAGCTAGAGATAGGTATGGTCATGTGGAACTGTGATCATCTGCCTTTGGTGGTTACCTCTGTACTGGGCTTGAAGAGACCTACTGACCATGAGTTGCACCTGAGAATCACTAGGTGTTAAAGTTGATCCCTGGACACAAGGATACATGCCCTCAGAGCATTTAATCCAAGACACTCTAGCTCTGGTCTGTTCCCCTTCCCTCCAGCTCTCCTTTCCTTACCACCTCCAAAGGAAAAGCACCACACATGCTTTTAAGGAATGCTGTGTGTTGAGATTAGGACTGGATTTTTCTGTTACCAATGTCTGCCTCCTAAGCCTGGACCAAAATACTTGCCAAATATTTGCCAAAACCCCCTTCATCACCACACTTGAAAGTAAGGAAGGAGTAGCCACTCTGCATCCATTCTCATTCACTGTTTTTTGTTAACTGTTACCATCCCTGCAGGGTTTTTAGTGTTAGGAGGATAACTCCAAAGTGAAGCACAGTTCTTTGAGTAGGCATATGAAAAACTGACAAAGGCAGATGAGAGTTCTGTGGTGATGGAACTTGCTGCTGGTGGAGGAGGCGCTTCCTTTTTTCTCCTCTCTAATTAGCTGGTAATTTGCTCCTCTAAGAAAGAATGAAAATTATGTATGTAGTCTTAGAAACAACCCCAAAACATACAAGTTTCTTCTGTTCTTTGCCCAACAAATATTCCTGCTTATTGCAGGTTCTTTGGGTTGCCTGTGGGATAAAAGAAAATGACTCCAAAAATAAGCTTGTGGGGATTTCCAAATTAAACTTTGCCCTGTCCTTTTCCCAGTTGGAGAGCTTAGACAAAGTGAGTTGGCTATTGCCCAATGGTAAGGCTAAATACAGCAAGGGTGGCTGTGTGTGCTCAGAATTGTGTGGAAAGCCTGGTTTTCCCTTTCTGCATGTGTCCTTCCCCTAAGAACTGAAAAGAACCCTGCAGTGTCATGCACCAGCAGTGTGCCTGAGGTGGCCTGCTTGCCCTGCTTGCCACTGACCCGCTCTCCAGTGTCTTCCTGCTGGAGGACACATTTATTGGTGCTGAGCCTGGAGCAGTAGTTCATGCACTGTGATTTCTTGTAGCAGATTAAACTACTCTCTTGGGAAAGTAATCTCTGAGGTTTAAATCCTGCTTTCACTGACCATGCCAGCTCTGCATGATGTGTAGAAAGAAACCAAGTGTGCTGTGACCCCCTCCAAACTTACGGACTGTCTTCTACATGGTGCTAACCCAGTGTGTGGTGGTGGAGAGAAGCACTTAATCCTAGATAACCATTCTGCCTTGAACTGAGGTGGGCTGGGGCCCTGCGTGGCATCTGGAACCCCTGCATGGCCACAGTTTCCATTCATGCTCTGACTTCGGTGTTTTTTTGTTTTGTTTTGTTTTTTTTTCTTTCTGCCCTGGTGTGCTGGGATCGGATCCTGCTTACCTTCCTCTCCTTACAGAGATCCTGATATAGACGCCAGATTGGGAATGTAACAGGGCTGGGTCTTCTCTTCCAGTCCCACTAGACACCATGGTAACTAATCAAGTTGGTGGTTGCTGTTAATACCTGTGTGTGTGTACACATTTCCTCTTCCTTTGCTGACTAACCAGCTAGCTCTCTACTAACATCACTGTAATTTGTGCTGGAATCTGTTGGCAAAGGGATGATGCATTTCACGGGGTGCTTGGGTTTCATTGTCTCGTGTCTGGCTGGGGTGGAGTTGTTGTTTATCCCAGATGATGTCCCTCCATCTCTTCCAACAGTGAACTTGCCAGTGCATTGACTAAAGCACAGGAAATTCAGAGCTCTTTCTGTGTCAAAATAAAAGTAAACTCCCTGTAAGTGTTCCTCTGGCTCAGACAGCTTGGGTATTGGAGAACATGCAGGGATCTAAGTACATTAGTTGCTTAAACCAGAATGATAACATTTAGGTAGTGTAGATCTGAGGAGTTTTGTGAATAAAGCAATTAATAATTACATAATTTTGGTAACAGAGAGGATGCATTGTTCTTGAGGTAGTCACGACCCCTTGCCATGATGGCTGGGGTAGTATTTTTGTTCTAGTTCTAACTGCTGCATGTATGAGGAGCTAAATCTGCTATGGTAAGACTTATCAAAGGGTAAAAAATGCACGCCCTGTGAGGAGGTGGTCTGCTGAATGTCACTATCCTCGTTTTTTCTGTACTCAATTTATACACTGTCTACAAAGACTAAAAAAAAAGGATGCCCAGTGGTTAGGGGGGTTGTAGCAGAGGGCACTTCTGTGACTGCTACCAGGGAAGTGGCTACTTAACTCTCCTGGATGCTTTGGTACAGGGAGGCAGACCTAGCACGGGGAGAGACCCATCACTGCATTGCCCAAAATTCACCAACTTTAAGGGCATTTGCTCTGTGGTATTAATTTTTCTGTCAGAGGCTTGTTTTCTTTTCAGTCCTGCTTTAAGCAGATGAAAAGAAGCAATCAGAGGGTGAAAACCAGCAGCCTTCTTTTAGGGATGTTGGTTCTCACCACAAGACAATTCTTTTGTTTGAAAACCAAGTTTTCCCTGATTAGATATTCAAGTAGCTATTTGAAGGCACATAGCATAAATGTCCTGTGTGACTCTTGAGGTGATTGCTCCATGGACTGGTGTCTGCTGGGAGAATTATTTTGGGCTCACAGCCTAACTATAAAAGCAAGGGAACTACTGTAGAGTTGGGTAGGAAGTACCTTGCTTGTGTAGAGAGAGCTGGTGGCTCTTGCAGGTGTTGGCTCTAACTAGCACTGGCACAACACTTGCCTCAGTGACTGGCATTGTTTAGCTTCTAGTTAGAAGATAATTGCTGATTACCACTGTTAACTGAGAAGAAAACACATGATTTTAGAGAGGCTAAGTTGAATGGGAGTATCTGAGGACCAGGGGTTGTGGAGGAGCTGCTGTCCTATGTTAATAGCTGCTCCTTCCTGTTGCTTACCAAACTCAGAGGAAGGACAGAGAAATGTCTCGGGAGAGATGGAGAATTTTGTGTGTTTATTTCAGAGTCCATTATGTTCATTTTTTTACTTTGGCGTAACCTGCCACATTTCATCTTGCCATCATTCGTCTTTTCTTTTTGTTTCTTTTTTTTTCTTTTTGTTTTGTTTGTTTCGTTTTGTTTTCCGTGTGCCTCTTGAACATTGTCGTGCAAACTCTGCTCTGCCACCTCGTCAGCTGCAGTACCTCTGAGAGCTTGATGTCTCCGGTTAAGCAAGCTCCGCAGAAGGCGCCCTCCGACACAGAGGGCCTGGTAAACAGCGTGCCCGCCAGATCACACCAGGTAAACTGCTCCTGCTGCTCCCCGAGGCAGGATTCCCCCAGCCTGGGGCAGCTGCTGTGCAAAACATCCAGGCAGGGTGGGATTCGTGCATTAGGGGCTGTCTGCTGGTGGAAGCGCGTGCGCCGCACAAGGGGCGCGCAGGAAGCTGGGACTGGTGAGCTCTGCTGTAGGAGGCTTGGTGCAGTTCAAAGAGCAGTGCCTTCATATTAGCTGAGATGGAATTTTATGCCCTTTTCATACTCAGTTATAAAAAACCGTGGTTGTGATCTTGTACGTTAACATACAGAGGTGGTAGTGAAGTGCAAGGATGGGGAGTGGTCAGTGAGTATGTGTTTAACACAGATGCAGTAAATGTCTGTCAGATATGGATCACCCTGTAAAGCTGTTCTGGGATGGTAATGGGAAGGAATTTGCCTGGCACTCTCATGCTCCATGGCACGTACTTCCTTCACAAGGGGAGGAGCTAGGTGCTGACCAGTTTGCAGATGATTTGTGCTGCTGAGAGCTCTCTTCTGCTGAGCCTCCCATCTCTTTGTGCTTACTGCAGCTGACAAAGTTCTGCTGACTGTGAAGGGAGAAAGTGGCTTTTATCCAGACTTAGCATTCCATGGGAGGGGACAGAGCATGAGTCAGACACGGATTCTGTGCAATGGATCATTACCTGTTAGTAGTACAGAATTTCCTTATTTGGAAGCTGTTTCTTCCCTCTTGATATTCCTAACAATTTTCTTGTGAAGATACACGTCCTGAGAGAGTTTAGGTTCAAAATGGACTTTTTCTTAATTAGCCACCTTTTAGCAAGTGGCTGCAGTGTAGTGTGTGCAAGTTAATACATGGTTTCTTAATTTCTCCTGACAAAATAATGGAGATGTGTGTTAAAGTATTAACACTACAGGAAAAAACCAATGTGCTAACAGTCAGAACTCCTTCTCTGCTGGACTTCTGATTTGGTTTTGAAATGCATTTTGTCCTGAGAGAGTTTAGGTTCAAAATGGACTTTTTCTTAATTAGCCACCTTTTAGCAAGTGGCTGCAGTGTAGTGTGTGCAAGTTAATACATGGTTTCTTAATTTCTCCTGACAAAATAATGGAGATGTGTGTTAAAGTATTAACACTAGAGTAAAAAACCAAATGTGCTAACAGTCAGAGCTCCTACTCTGCTGGGCTTCTGGTTTGGTTTTGAAATGCATTTTCTTCTGGGCCATGCAGTATTTCCAAAGTTTCAGCACACAGACCCACAAAGCTGCCTTCTGCCTTCAGAGATCAGTTATTCACAGAGGCTATATAATCAGGATTTAAAAATAGTCATATTTTGACTGGAACAGATCTTGTAGCAGCAGGCTGCCTATAAGGCCTGGATAAAACTTGTCTTTTCTAATTCATGGGAGATCATCTTCTGGAATGGGTGAATGAGACAAACTATTCCTACCATCCCCCCCTTAAAAAAGAAAAAAAAAGAGAAGAAAGATTTTGCAAAACCAGCATGGTGAGATTTATGATACAGTAGCTGTTGGAGACAATATCCGTAGGTCAAAAACCCCAAAAGTAATTATTGTCATGGCTTGAAGGAGTGCTTGTAAGTGCCCTGAGCTACACACAGATGCTGTTCTGTGCTTGCATCTTGAAAGCAAAAATACTCCAATGTTTTCCTGTGAAAACTTGCAGTGTCCTCACCTTTCCGTGTCCCCAGGGTTCTGAGTCTCAGTATGCTGGAAGGAGCAGCAGAGTAAATCTAAACTTTGTGGTGTTAACTCAGAATCAGGGTGCTTTTGCCCTTCTGTAGTCACTTCAGTCTGTTTCTTCATTGAGAGAGCTCTCCCTGCAGGTAAGTTCCTAAAGAAAAACACAAACTGTGAGCACTGCTGATCTCAGCTGAAAAATACTGCAAATGGCTTTTGTTTCATTCAGTTTTAGTTTAGTTTTTATATTTTTAATCTCTTTTGCCAGGCAAACAGTTTCTTTTTGTGGCAGACATTTGTAGCAGCAAGTAGTTCCTCTGTCTACCGTTGAGCATTTGCCCCATCTTTACAGAGCAACTAAACATATTTACTTTTCTTTAAAAAGATCCATGGTGAAATCAGAGTAGATCAGATTTTGAACAGAATATTTATACAAGTGGGGAAGCTAAATTTCAGTTGATTACACTTACATTGTTAGCTTCTAGCCGTTGTTTGGTTGTTTCTTTAAGGCTCATATCAGCATGCAAATCAACATATTTGAAATCTGTCATCACATTCAAATAAAACCTGGTGTTTCTTGGTAATCAAGAAATGAATTGTAGTGTTCAAGCTTTTGAGGTGTTGTGCAGGTGAAAGGCAGATACTCATCCCTAGCAGCTCCCAGAGCTGTTGCAGGCTGTTTGCTGATTCAGGCACACTCTTGCCTCTTGGAATGCCTGGCAGTTTTAGACCAGTGACTCCCACAGTCAGTGCTGTGGTCAAACAGCAGAGGCCTTCTTCCTTGTAGCTTTTTTACAAGGTAGGATGTGTAGGAAGTGAATGAATGCTTTGTACTTCACTGGTGGAAAAGAACTGTGAATACAAACAAAACTGCCCCTGCAAGTTAGAAACAGTAACAGAGGTGTTTGCTCTTAAGAGTGGCATTTAAATGAATTAAATGAAGTTTATTCATTTTTTAATTTATGTATCAGTTCAAGAATCAGTGATGGAGTATTTGTCTGCATCACATCTCAGCTGAAAGTGCACTGAGCCTGCACTTCCTTTATGTTTTGAGGGCAAGTTACTCAGGTGTGGACCTTGTTTTCTGGAGTTTGCATATCTGATTCTGTGAGTGTTCAGCTGCTTAAATCAGCTCTGCTTGTTTTCACTGTGCCCTCCTTCTCAGCAGTTTTGTTCTGTCCTGTCAGATTTGTCTGTGGTGGTTCTTGTCCATGCCATCATTCTCTAGTGACTGCTGTTCTACCAGGACTGTTATTTGTGTGGGTAAGAAATTATTTACAGTGCAGGCAGGAACTACGTGGATTTCCCACATGTTTGGACCCCAGGACCCTGAGAAGGAGCAGTTTGTAATGCCAAGAATCTTGATGGAAATTTCAGATAACATTCCCAGAGCCTGAATCTGTGGTAGTTGCAACATCATTCAGAATCTGACAAATTTGAATATTCTGTAGACTTCTGTTGGACCGTGGTGGTCTAATATTGTAATTCCTTTTTCTTTTTTGTAACTTACAATTAATGACTGCTGACAAACCTTTAGCAGGTACACCTGCTGCTCTTTTCCCTTCAATTCTGAATGGAGAAATTGCAAGGCTTCAGGAAATGCTGGTTTTATATAGCAGTGCTATTCTGTCTTCTAGTTCTGAAGAGTCAGGATGAGCTTACTTGGGATTAGATGAAAGCTCTGAATTGTTTAGAGGATTTTTGAAATGGCCCAGGTGATGCTTATAGTCAGCTAGAGAATCAATTGCCAACAAATCAAATAGATGAGCACTGCAATAAATCCTTGGTCCCTCCTCTTCTCTGTTTTGGCTATCTACCACTGTTTTTAGGTGACTGACAGTGAACACATTGAGACAATGATAGCTGGGTTTGGATCAGCTGATCACAGCAGTCAGTCTCTCCACACCACTAACATGCTGCTTGCAGCACAGTGACTATATTTAAACTGGCAAAAATCCAGTACAGTGGTAACTGATACTGAGTGAACTCCACTGGTAGACAATTGACCCATCAGAATTACTTGAACAAAATTTGGAATGTCACAGTGAGTATTTTCTGCAGTTAGATTTATTATTTTTATATTTTTTTAACTGATAGTGCTCTCAAGCTGAATTTAGTATACCCTTGACCTCTGGCCTCAGGCAGATGAGATTTCCAAAATTGCTTGCAATTAAACTTCAGGGTTACTTCGCCTTGAAATTTATATAGACACTGTGATCTTTTCAGAATTATTAATCTCAATACAGTGTTGGAGACCAGAACAACATGAAAGCAAATAGCAGAGAAGTTTTTTTAAAAAGTGGCTATAATGAGATTTGAAATCCAGGGTTTTCTAGGACATCAGTGTCCTTTTTTTTTAAATTTTCTCAGTATGTTGTTTATAGTCAGGGTTTTATACCTACTTGCAAGTTTTCACCCTTCAGTCAATCTTCTTCCTCTACTCTTTATTACTTTGGAAATACTTTACCTAGAAGGAATAAAATGTGGATTTAAATGTCTTCTCAAAGAGAACAAGGTATTAATCAGGTGTGAGCTTTGCCACTGTACTGGGAGGAAAAGAGCTGTGCAGGAAGGTGTCTGTGGTCCTTCGAGGGCTTAATTTTCTGTACAGAAGGTCTGTTTTCATCTCTGGCTCATAATTGCTTTGGAAAATAGATGGAGAAATTTCTGTCAAGTCTATACAAATGTTTTCTAATTTCTTAAGATTCCAAAAGTACTAGAGGAGTGCCAGTGAAGGCTACTTCCTCCTGGGACATAAGGGACACCAGAACAGTTAAATGGATGAAAGGTTTTGAAGGAAAAACTGCTGAAAAAGCCACAACCAAACTGAAAGCTCTCTCTTTGTAATTCCCCATCATTCATCCCGAGATAACACAGTCCCTTTGCCTCCTGCCTGGGGTGTGTGCTGGCAGCCCTGTGCTTTTCTCAGTTCAGCATGGGAGCTGCAGCTCTCTTGCCATCAGGGTCCCACCTGTCTTGCTGGATCTCTGCTCCATGGAGGTTGCAGTCCAATCCTCAGTAGCTGCAGTTGGCTTTCCCTGGGCTATGTTTTAAAGGGTGTAGTGTTTAAGGAAGTGTTCACACTTTCAGCTGAAAGACAGGGCTGTAATGTCTTCCCCTACACCCCAGCAAATGTCATGAAGGTGTGAGGCCATGCCTGCCCAAGGTGTCTGTGAGCTGCTGCTGCCTGGGCTGGCCCGGAGGTCAGGTAAGAATTCTGCATTGCTGCACCATTTTAGCATTTCTGGCTCACTGCTGTGTAAGTCTTGGCCCCATCACTGGCTTGGGCAGTGACTTGAGTCACAGGGTGGCTGCAGCTTCATTATCCAAGTGGCACAGCCATGCTGGGATTTACAGGACCCGAGTCGCAGTTTGGGAAGTACACTCTGCTGTTGACTGGTAACCTCTAGGACAGTTCCTCTTGAACAATATTAAATCTGGCATGCATCTGTCTAAGCCACGTGTCTTTGCTACATAGCACACAAGAACTGCTGCTTTTCAGAGCAAGGGACCCTAGATTTTGCTTTCTGTGGCAGCAGGCAGGTTTGGAGGGAGGCAAGGGTGCTGTTTGGCATGCTCCTGAGAGGAGAAAGGTGGCAGACTAGAGCTCACGTGCAGCTGAGGGTTCATTCCACCTGCTTCCAAGTGCCGTTCGCAGTCATAAAAGCTCTGTGGTCTTGCTTTAGCTTTCATCTTGCTGCAGCCCCCGTGGAAGCGAGGGGGAGTTGTGAAAACCCCTGACTGTGCCCGTTCCTTGTGTCCGCAGGGCCCAGTCATTTACGCGCAGTTAGATCACTCCGGGGGACAGCACAGCGACAAGATCAACAAGTCAGAGTCTGTGGTCTACGCCGACATTCGGAAGAACTGAGATCCTCAGCTATCCAAAGGACAACACACGTTCAGACTGGAATTGCTTGAGCAAGATTTGACCCAGAGAACTCACATGTGGCCTTTGATGCCTAGGCTAGGACCAATGCATGTGCATACAGAGGGAGAGATATATATGTATTGTGTGTAAATAGTCTATTTAATCGTACAGAAGTGAGACCAATGTTGCATGTTGAAATGCGGTAAGAATTTTGCTTATAAATTGCCAATATTCTTTTTTTTTTTTTTGTATCTTGTGTGACGAGAGAGAAAGTGAAAACTCGCATCACAATTTTAAAATATTTTTATCTTGATTATTAATGGAGAAACTGGAAGATGCCTGAAGATTCTAGATTGACCTGGAGATTTTTTTTCTTTGCTTATAGGGCCTAATTTCTTTTGTTGAGGTGACTATAAAGAAGACATTTTCTTTATATTCAGAATTCTTTATGTATACAGGGTATTTATCTTTCCTTGGTCAGATTATCAGTACAGGTTGCCTTCTCGTGTAAACTGGACCCTCTCACTTGGTTTTGTAAGCCAAATTGTGACTCCTAGCTATCAGAAATGTATGTCTTAGCAGTGTGAGTGAAGGAAACCTTTAGGCCTACCTGACCTGTGTAACATGGGTCACAAAACTGTTTACTTCTCAATGAGCCCAGCTATTCAAGCTGTCCTTTAAGGGGCAAGGGATGGTGTTGATTTAATGAATTTTGTGAAATGGTAGTTTACCTGTGAAAAGGAAGGAGATAGTGAATTAAAGGCATAGGAAGCTGTAGCTGTAGGTGGTTACCTCAGACTCTGTTGAACCTTTCAGTGAAATATTTTGTCCTCAAAGCTCTGTCATTTCATGCAAGCATTAAAAAGGGCTCCAAGGGATCTGGAAGCTGTAGTACTCCCATACCTCTCTTCCATGGCTCCATTATGCCACTGTCACCTCCGTGGAGGTGCTTTATCTGTTCTCAAAAGCCTGTAGTGGAGGCTGAACAACTTCTGGAGGAAATCTAGGGCTCTTTGGTTTTTTTGATGTGTGTTTTGTTTTTTTTTTGTGTGACCAATATTTGCACAGAAGATGCAGATGGGCAGTTTATTTCCTTCATACCTTCAAGCCTGCTGCTTGAATGCAGTTGTCCAGCCTCTTGTTTCTAGGTTAAACTCCTCCTAGATTATTAAGGATCTCTGCTGATGAGGATTTCTTTTGCTGACCCATTGTATCCTGAAATCTGGTGCTCAAAACTAGAAGTGGCCTTCCAGCAGAGATCTTCTCAAAGTGACACATAGAAGAAGGATTTCTGTTTTGTACATCCCAATGTAGTGGTTTTGTTTTGGGTTGGGTTTTTTTTGGCAGCAAATAATTTTCAGATTGGTCTATGGCAACCACTTTTCTCTGATTCTTACCCACTTCCTAGTTCAGTGTGTTTCAGAATCAGTCCCAGAATGGTTGAGGTTGGAGGGACCTCTGGAGATCATCCAGTCTTCCTCCAGCAGGGTCAGCCAGAGGAGGCTGCCCAGCCCTGTGCCCAGTTTCGAGCATCTCCACAGGTGGGACCTCTAGAGCATCTCTGGGCAACCTGTTCCAAAAAACCTCAAGCCCACATTTGACTCCTAACACCAAGCACATGCAAAATAGTTACAGGCCCATGGCAGACTCTTTTACAACCTCGTTAGATAATCCTTTAATTATGACAGTGCAATTTTAATAACTATTTTGTGTACAGTGGGCATTTTTTCCCCAAGAAAATTAGGTATGGCAACACTGTATTCTTTCATCAGGATCAGACTTTTCTGGTTTCCTGACAACAGCTGCCTTTATTAGAAAAGAACAGCTTTATTTTTGTATACATGCACTGGGTAGATCTTAGGACATTGTCCTCAAAGCCAGAACCAGCTTCTTAAAACTGGGGCTCAGAAGGAAACCATGGATTAATTTATTCTGCCATATGTCAGTTGCTAATCCTGCAATATCTGAATTTGTGTAATTCTTCTTCCAAGACTTGGCTGGTATCAAAAAAAAGGACATGTTTCAGTTTTAAAGCATCAGTTCTCAGGTATTTGCCAAGTCTTGTAGGGAACTGAGACACGGAGCTGTGGCTAACTAACAACTCTGTAAATATTTTAACATTTTATTTTTTGGCAATAACACATACAAGATGAAAAATGGACAAATTTCTTCTTCACAGGAGACCTTTAAATATCTTCTTCTACTTTATGGATTAAGCTGGGTTTTTTAGCAAGACTCCACATGAAGGGCTATGGTGCTTGTACCCAGTGCTGGCAGCTGATGGAGTGGGACCCACTCACCCCAGAAACTTTCAAGGGTAATTTGTCCACTCAAGCTTCCATCTGTTGATAAGATCCACTGCCTTGGTTGCTGCAGTGCTGATGCTGGTGACTGTAGTCAGGAAATTCTTTACTCAGAAGATGGTGAGGCCCTGGCACAGCTTGCCCAGAGAAGCTGTGGATGCCCCATCCCTGGAAGTGTTCAGTGTCTGGTTGGATGGGGCTCTGAGCAGCCTGCTCTGATGGAAGTGTCCCTGCCCATGGCATGGGGTTGGAACTAGGTGATCTTTAAGGTCCTTCCCAACCCAGTCCAGTGTGTGATTCTGTGGTTCTGTAGGGTCTTCTCAAGTGCTGAATTCTGCACCTGGCAGCCAGGGGGGACATCCCTGTCCTGGGGGGAACCATGCCCAGCACTGCCAGCTGGGCAAGGGCAGGGATTGTCCCACTCTGCTCTGGGCTGGGGCGGCCTCACCTCCAGTCCTGGGGCAGTTCTGGGTGCCACAATATAAAAAGACATGGAGCCATTGGAGAGTGTCCAAAGGAGGCCACGAGGACGGTGAAGGGACTGGAGGGGAAGCCTGCTGACAAATGGCTGAGGTCACTTGGTCTGTTCAGCCTGGAGGAGACTGAGGGGAGACCTCACTGTGCTCTTCAACACCCTCATGAAAGAAGAGAAGGGGCAGGCACTGCTCTCTTCACTCTGACAGGACCCAAGGGAATGGCATGAAATGAATCACAGGAGGTTTAGGTGGGATATCAGGAAAATGTTTTTCACCCAGAGGGTGGGCACTGAACAGGGTCCCAGGGCAGTGGTCACAGCACCAGGCCTGACAGAGTTCAAGAAGTGTTTGGACACTACTCTCAGGCACGTGGTGTGACTTCTGGGGTGTTCTGCCCAGGGCCAGGAGTTGGACTCGATGAGCCTGATGGGTCCCTTCCAACCCAGTATAAATTATGATTAAGATCAGGAGGAATCCTGCTGCTGCTGCTTTCCTTATCAGGCTTTACTTCCCAACATTTATTTTACACTTAATAAAACATTAATGCTTTGGATGTGGTTGATGGAGAAACTTGATTTTGATCTGCCTGTGTTCATCCCTGTGCATCACCATCTTGCTCCCCCAACATTTTTGAGTAAGAAGGAGAATTGTGATGAATGTGGCGGTCAGAAACTTGCTGCTATGAGAAGATGGGGCTGGCCTTGCCTCTGAAGTCTGCTACTAATGTTTGCTTCTTTTCCTGCTGGAATGTACTGGAGAATCTGAGCACAATTCTGATGTGGTGCTAACTTTAGGAAGCACACGAATCCGGTGCTAACTTTAGGACTGATCTGGTGCTAACTTTAGGGGACACACTGGTCTGGCTGATTTTAACTGACTTAAGGAGACGTCTCCTTGCATGGCTTTTGTCTAGCTACAGGTATGTTCATATTGCCTAGACTGAGAAGGCTCCCTGTAAGGCTTCTTGGGTCCTCTTTATGAAGGCAGAATGAACTTGGAAGTATTTTTAAAAAACACTAAACATCCTTTTAAAAAGAAACAAAAGTCTTCCCCCTGGAATGGCAGAAATCTGTCTGAATCCCACTCCAGTGTCAAGGCTGATTTTTGGGGTTTGGTTATTTTTTTTTTTTTGTCATGGAAAAGTGAGCAATATAATTATTAAGTAATGTATTCATGCTGAAGTCAAAAGAACTTCAGCATTGTGAGACAATACTTGTGAACTTTCTGTTCCTCAGGTTATCTGAGATGGTTTAAGGATATGATAACCTGTGCTGATGAAAGGGACTGATGCTGAGTTGGCTTACTTAGTAAAGTCTCAGGAGACAGAGGACTTCTCTTCCTTGATGGGTAGAGCAAGCAGAGATTTAAGTCAGACAAGGTCATAATATCCTGATGTTCTGGTGACCAGAAGTTTAACTCTGATTGCTCTGCTGCTGCTGTTCTCTCAATTCTCTGATGCTGTTCCTTGCAGGAGGAAAAGAACAGCTTGGACTTTGAGGAACACAAAGGGTGTTGTCCTTGTCCTCTTGTGGCACTGCTGCCAGCTCTTTTAAGGATCATCTATTTTCAAAACAAGTGCTGCATGCCAGGCTTGCAGCAGCCCAGAGGAGGAGCAGGCATCTCTCTTGAGGCAGTAGCCAGTGACTAAAACAAATAGGGGGGTCATTGCTCCTGGATGGTGGACCTGGGAGGGCCTGTGTGATGAAAGACTTGCAATAAATTCTCTTATTCATCATGCAAACAAAACTGGGATCAGTCTGAAATCTTCCTTATTTTTGACTAATTGATAAATTAATTTCAAGAGGACTACAAATAAGGTAATCAAGCTAAGTATATTGGTAGTGTACTCAGTCCATCAGGTTTCCATGGCCCCTTTTGACTTCAGCAGTTGTTCTGTGAGGAAGATGCTCACCATGTTCACAAAAGCTTAGCATTAAGAGCCTTTACAGTGGGGCAGATATGTCCCTGCAACTCATTGCCTGATGTGTCATTTATAACTGGAGACCTGTAGGGTTTTGTTTTCTCTCAAAGCTTTAGTGGTATTTCAGTTTGTGACTAGAAGAGCTGTAATTAGGTTTTTAAACTTTTTAAAGCTGTGAGAATTGTCTAGGTAACCATCTGTCTTGTAATTGCAGTAAAGGTGTGCATGCAACTTAAAAGCTGCATTGCCTTAGAGTGGATTCACTGAGGTCAGGTATGGAGTTTTTGATTTGTGACTGGAACACCTTCACTCTGTACTGGAATCTTGTCTTGGAATTCTACAGTATTAGTGTATCTGCCAAGGACCTCAAATACAAAAAGTTCTTATTGCATCATAGCTGATGGAAATATTTCCTCAATAAAACTACCAAGAGAGAAGGTGGGTGGGACTTCTGGGCTATGGCCACACCTCTGCAGCGTAACATTTTTATACGGGAGACTACAAAATCATATTAACAAGGCTCAGCAATTATTCTCTTCTTTAGGTTTCTCTTTCCCTTCTCTTTACTGCCCTAAAGCTAATAAGCCCTTTCATTTACAGGCATTTTTGCACTCTAAAATATAAGTTCAATGCCTTTGGAGATCAGTGTGCTGTGCAATGTTTTCTGTCTCCCTGCCATGCCAACTGTTCTTATGTGGTAACTGTAATTGAAAACATAGACTGGGTACTTTTCTTTTGTAAACCTCTGTCCTGGAGGTGTGCAAGACAACAAACACCTGTAAGACAGGTGTATAATCTCTGTGAGGGAGCTAGATATGCATTGCATGGCCTGATTACATGAAGAGCCAGTGTACCAACTGTTAGTGCTTTTGCTTTTACAGACTCATCTGGAAACAGTTATATTGGATATTTTTTCTTGAATGGACTTCAATGTTTTCTATTGTAATCTTGTGAATATTTTAATACACTTTTTTTTTCCCATTACTGGTTTGCTGGATGAGTCTTACCTGGTTGGGGACTGGGAAGGGAGGGGGACTGGAATACACCACCTCTCTTCCTAGCAGTATTCTTCTTCAGTCACTGTGACCACTTGGTGACCAACACAGCTGGAGAACTTGCCACTTGAGACCCTGAGACCAAGGACCAAGACATGCAAGTGGAATTGTGGCAGAACAGAGAACTGACTTCGTGCTGGGACAGCCTTTGAAAAGGAGGAGCTGACAGACTCATCAGAACCTACCGTGCCTCAGTTATCTTTTCCCCTGCATGTGAATTTCTAAGTCTGGTGCTTCAACACCCCCATCTTCTGCCTGGAGTTGTGGAGGAAGCTAAAACACCAGTGGCACATTTGTTTGCTGTCTTTTTTTTCAGGACAGTGGTAGCTGGGGAACAAATCAAGACACACACAGCTGAAGCTGGAACAAATATCCTTATGCTACCGGGGAAGGAAGAGCATCAGGAAATGAAATGCAAATGCTACTGTTGGTTACTGAAATATGGCAAACCCCCACACAGGTGGTTTTCTGACAGTGACAGGAAGATCACTTCAGTCTGAGGCTCTGGCTGTCACCAGTACTGTGTCACTCCCAGCACTGCTCAGTGGAGTCAGAAAAGGTGAGGCTCAGCAATTCTTTTTAGACAAAATCCATCCAGTTTCTTTAAAGAGACAATACAAGACAAACAATTCTGCCTTCATTTTAAAAGGTTACCCTTTATTTGTGTGGAGATACCTGGTTATTTGCACTTAGAAAACATTTCATCTCCTTTATTTTCCTCTTTATTTTCTCAGAGAAAAAAACATTAAAATTAGTGAAGCTAGGTCCCATGGGGATGGGTTTGTGCGTTGCTAGATTTGACCTGTTGGGTTAAGCATCTCTTTATTGCACCTGCTTTTGTGCTTTTAGCTCCTGATTATACCTATAGGAATAAAAAAGAAAGAGCACAGGCTAAGAATAGAATAGAACACCAGTTACAATAACAGTGTTTTCCTAGCAATCTGTTCACCAGAGGCTGTTTAAAATTACAATGGACTTGAGGGTGGAAACTTGGGACAGGATATCAAAATTCTTGTAGGAAGTTTTAAAGTAGCTAAGTTTGCCACATTCCTGGCCAGTACTGAAGCCAGAAAACTCCCAAAGTTTCCTTCAAGAAACAATTTTTTGAAAAATGCTGCTCTGCTTAAGAGCCTTTTGATCCAGCTGGAACTGACAGGATTCAATGCTGCTCTCGCTTCACTCCGACTTAACTGTAAAACTAACAATGTAGCAACAACATTCTGTAACATTTCATGAATGGTTCAGTTCCTCTTGCCTGTTGCACTGACAGAGAGGCTGGCAGCATTTATAAATTCCTGGTTAATGCTTAGCTGTACTTGTACCCTTAGTAATGCATACCTCCATATTCGGAAAAGCTGGGAACCACCAGCGCAGCCAACAAAGAAGTTCACAGCAAACAGACTCCAGTTTTTAGGGATAATCACCAGAGAATACCTTGACCAAATAAGGCCTGTTGAAAAAAAAATGGAAAGTTTAAAGATATTTCAAATTAAATATTCCGATATTTCCCTAAGTTTGGAGGCAGATTCATGGGCCAATTGAAGTAAACACATCTTGCAACTTCACGTTAGACAACTGCTTTGCTTATAACTTCCTTTTTCTCAGTGAAAAGGGTTAGTGGGACATCTACAGGTATGTAGTGCATTTTTCTGAAACAGCTACAGTAAGGTCAATCATAGTCTGAATATCAAAGATTCTCTGTAGGATCTCTGCAGCCTAGACCTTAATTCTCCAGCAATGTTGCAGTGTAGTGATATTTTGCTGTATATCCAGCTCGCTGCACGACATTGGAGATTGTGCAAAACTTGTGCAAAATGCACGGGACTGCATCAGATATCAAAATAAAGTCTGGAGAACCCTTTTAGACAGGAAAAGCATTGGAAAAAGTGGTGCAGCACCATCCCTGGAAGTGTTTATAAGAAATGTAGTTGTGTCACTTAGAGACTCATTTTAGTGGAGGACTTGGAAGTGCTGGGTTAATGGTTGGGTTCTGTGATCTTAAAAGTCTTTTCCAACTTAAATGATTCTAGGATTACAGAATATTGTTTCTGCCAGTGTGAGAATTCTTGGCAGACAGCAGTGCAGTAGTCCATGTGCCACTGCTTCAAATTTCTTACAACACTTGGAAATTCTTTCCAGTTATGTTAGTATAATTACCCTACCATTCTTAAATCCCTTAAAGTGTGTTCTAAAAAAAGTCACTGTATCCTGGACTGATTTCAAAAATACTTGATCTGAAGGAAAAGAGGTCACTTACTGCAATGAATGGTATCATGGTAACTTAAGGGATGACACTCATGCCTAACTTGTAGCAACTTGTGCTGAACAATTCCAAATTAAGACAGGTGTAGAAAACTATTACATAATTACAGAATGCTTACTGATTGAATAAAAAGTAGAGGTCTGTCCTAGAATCAGCATCCAACAGCAATAGTGACAGCTAGCATATAAAAATTAAGGCTTTCTGTGGAGGTGGATTAGTACTGATGGAAGATTCTGAGATGGTGCTGTGTGAAAACAGAAAGTGTTTTAAGAAGGCTTTACCTGTGGCCATGAGTACTGCAGACTGTGCTGTGCTGAGCTTTTCTGCTGGTCTGGCCATGTCAGCCAGTCCAGCACACACCAAGCCCTGCAAAGAGAAATTCAGTGAGCACCAGTCTGGGACTCCTGTAACAGATGAAGAGCTTTGCAAGGGGAAGCTGCTTCACAGCTCAGTGCTTATCCTACTGCATTATGCAGGAGGTGGGATGCATTCTATGAGCAATTAGACTCTGGGAGATACCATCCATTTCCAGTCCTTTGTGGTAGGAAAAAAGAACACAGTTATAGCAGCTACAACTGGGTGGCAATAAAATCCCAGGCACTGGCAGTTTTGTATTAATTCAAGAACAAGGTTAATTTGAACACAGCTGCTTAAGAAAGCAGCTGGAAAAAATCCACCCTTGTTTTTAAACAACAAGTAGAGGCTTATTTAAATGAGGGCCTTCTTTCCACAGGTCAGGCTAAGATACTGGTCTCTTCACCCCATAAAGTCTTCATTTAGCTTCGTCCGAGGGGGGTATTTTTCTTAAATATAATTCCAGTAATAGTAGAAAACATGCAGGCGAATTGAGGAATAGCTTGGCTGATCTACTTGACATTAGCAGCAAACACTCTGCTTGCTTTGTTTGTTGTGTTATTGCCCTCTACTGGAAACACAGTTTCATGTTCCTGTTACACCAGTTCACAAAAAACTCCAGACAAACCCCTAAGTAAGATAGTCCTAGTGCTTTTTATCCAGGACTCCTTGGGCACAGAAGAGCTGCCCGTGTGCTTAGGCTCAGGAGGGTGTTTCCAGGGAGAACTTCTGAGGAAAGGGAAGGTTAACCATGGTTCCTGCAGCTCCAGACCAGACAACTGACAAAGAAACCGAGCTATAGCTTAGAGCACAATGTTGCCTGTGGCCTATAAAACACTGGGGGTTCACAATGGCAAAGTTACAAAGCAGCTGGCAAGGGAAAGAGCAGGTTACATCCTTGTTATCAAACAAGATCACATCCTCGTGGGTTTGGAGATCTCTTGTTTTATCTGTATCAGTGCAACACCTCAGAAGAGCACAGTGAATGAGGAGGTGGCATTTGCATCACCTGGGCACAAACACAGCCCAGGGCTGCAGCCAGTGGGAAGCAGAACCTCACAGGAGGCAGAGCACCACTGACAGCCACAATGGCAGCTGCATTGGGCTTTTAGGTCAAGACTGCCCTGCACTCTGACATGCTTCAGCCTGCCTTCAAGATACAAGGCTTAGGAATTGGCTTCCTTATAAGATACTTCTCAAATTCCTCAATCTCAGAAGAAATGTATGCTTTATGAGTTTTGCATCATGCCTACCTTGAGCAACAGGTGGTGTTTCACAAGAGAAAGCCTTTGTGAAACCCAGTGAAAAGCACAATTCTTCCACAAAGCATTTTCCCCACACTGTTATCCCCTTCCTTTTGTGCTGTTATTAAGGCTAATTTTTTTCCTCCCCATATATTAAGAATGAGAGCCTCTAGTCTTTCTGCAGGCTCAAGTAGCTGCTGGGAAACTCTTGCTTGCTCAGTGTGTTGCAGCAGATTGCCCTGGCATGACACCCAGACACCAGCTGGCATCTTGTACTTACCCATTTCATAACAGGTGCCCAGAAAAACACTGTTTTGGGACCTGAGGGAGAATGGGAGAAAAGAAATTATTTAGTAAATGTGGCTGTTTTAATACCCACAGTAAGTTTAAATTGGTTTATTTTGGTTGGTGTTTTTTTAAATAATGAATTGTTTATATTAGCATTTTATACTGCTGTACAGGCTCTGGCACCTAATACTTATAATTCATCAACTCAGTGCATCAGCCTTCAGTTGTGTAATCACTGCACACATTTCTGCAACAGCTGGATAGGATTTCTTATGTCCATGTTCAAGCAACTGAGAACACCCAAGTAGGCAAAATGCATTTATAATTGAAAGAGTTAGGAAAAGGCCTAGGAATAGGGAAAACACCCCAAAAATTAGGTACACCTAATTGAGTACACCAGTAGGTAAAGGAGGATTATAGGGAAGAGGATGAAATCTCAAGAAGGAAGGGAGAAAAATCCAGTGGCATGGGACCTGGGGAAAAAACAACTCTCTTATAAATACATACAATTTCCAGTGGTGCTAAAATAGCAACTGGTTGGTTAAAAGCAAGCCCTGCAAAGCCACACCACAACTATGCCAGAAATCATTAATCTGGGCCTTGTGCTCCAAGTCTTAAATAAGAGACCACAATCCAAAGTACCAACTTCTCCTGTGAGACAGTCAGGACACTGTTCTAATTTTATCACAAAAAATTAATGTTTAGGTCACTGCTCAGCACTCTGATAACATGCAAGAGGAAGCCAAGTTTTCACTGTAATATATTACACAGGAGTAACCACCAGGACTTTGGTTGCCTGCTTTTGGTGAGAGCTATGTCTTCACTAATAATTCAGCCCTTAAAAGACCTTGCACCAACTACCTGTACTTCCAGTTTTAACCACCCTCAATTTTAAAACTATGACTTGGGAAACAAAAACTGGCTTGGCAGCCTTGCATAAAGCCCTTTTTAACCCACCCTGCTTGTGATCAAGTTTCAAACTGCATTTAGTAACTACAAGCACATTACCTTTTGTCAAATATTGTTGAATATTAGATAACAGCAGCTTAATGTTCATCCTTTAAAGTTACAAACTTCAGCTGCTGTTCTCTTAGGCACTTTTTTGGTGTGTCAGAATCAGGCTGCAAATTCAGCTTGTAATAAATAAATCAGTCTTACAGAGTAGCTTTAATTACTAACATTTATCTAATTCTAAAACACAAATTCAGATTTGGAGTACTAGAGGATGTGGGATGAGTATAAATTATTAAACTGACACTCCCTAAACAGCTAGTTGAGTTTTCAAGAAGACTGACATTAATTTTTATTAATAATAGAAAATTCAACCATTTCAAACTGCTGACTGCAGAACGAAGAAGCAGTTGGAGACAGGGAAGGTACCAAGCCAAGTTTGTAATTAGGAAAAACTGTCCAACACCTCTCCTTGGAGACACTCCAGCACGTACCCAGCCTGGGTGAGTTCTTCCCAGCTCCTGACATCCAGAATTTTTCAAGGATCAATATGACAGCAGCACAAGAGAGCAGGGGGACACCAGAGGCTAATTTGGATATCACATGTGTGACCAGTTTATACAATTTATGACTTCTATTGAATATAAGAAGTCTTTGTGCTGAAAACTTGAGTTTAGTCGGGCAAAGTGAAGCAGAGAGGCCAAAGGGGGGGGAGCACAAGCTCAGCCCATGCTTTCCCGTGGCAGCCTGGGGAGTTGGTGTGCCAGGCCCTCCAGTGTCCTCCAGCAAGGCCAGCCAAAGAAACAGTTTTTAATAGGCACCAATTAATTTGCTGGAAGCTTTCTTTATGCCAGAAAGTGCTTCACGCCTCACAAGTGATTTATAATTTCATGACAATGATGCTTATATTCCTGAATTAGACTAGAGATTTAGATGTCACTGGAGATAAAAGAAAGCCTTTCATTTTTAACCCACTTTTTTTTTTCCTGCAGTCAGAGTCTCATGTATTGCATAACTTTCTCACTGACACACCTTCAAGGCTAAAATAGAAAGTTGCGGGGTTCACTTTCTGTACTTGCTTGTGCTGTGACTTTTCTCACTTATATCATCAGTATGGATTATGACAGATAGATATATGTGTATATATAATATATATATACACACAGAATCCCTAAAAATGGATTTATTAATTACAACATTCTGGTGACGACCAGCCCACAGGGAGTTCTGTGAAGTGAAAAGCACTGCAAGAGAACCTCCAAAACCTTCTCCAATTCCCACTACAGCTCTGCTGAAGATGGAACATGGATGTTCCCAGTACCTGCTATGCCTTGCATCCACTAAGAGCTTCTGGAATCTGCCACATTTCCCACCAGTGGAATGTGTCTCTCAGTGTTGGACATATTGTCTCTTTATATATAAAAACAATACATTAATGTTAAATATATTGGTCTGGAGAACTGCACTTTTCACTCTCTGTGATTTCTTTAGAGATAGGATTTTCCTTCCAAGAAAGGGCCATTGTAAGAGGACAGGGCAACTGACTGCAAACCAAAGTCCATTTCCACAGTGCATATTCCTGGTAGGTGAAGAGTCAAGGATGCCTGTGACACCGGCACGAACAGTGGGGACAGAGCCTATGGAATGCCAGGATTTTATCGGGCGCTCCTTTTAACAACCGACGCAATTTGTTTACAGGACAAACACCACGTAGATGGCACTGAATGAGATCGGTTTACAGGAGGTTTCTCCCTAATAACACAACCCCCCACGGAAAGATAAACTCCAGGTCAGGTGAGGGGAGCTCATTCTCCACCCACAGGAGTCCTCCCGCCAACTCACCGAGCTGCCTTTGGTGGAAGCGTGGGATTCAGCAGAAAGGAAATACAACCAAAGGCTGCCCGAGTTGCCCAGGGCACATTTCAGGATCAGAAAGCCTGGCAGCGCTGTCCCCCGTGCCTGGAAGTGTCCGGGGCCAGGCCGGATGAGCAGGTGTCCCTACCCGTGGCAGCGGATGGACCTGGATCATCTTTAACATCCCTTCCAACAAACCATTCCACGATCCTACGATTTTCCCAGCCCATCCTCTCGAAAGGAGCGGCTGCCGAGGCCTCCAGGCCCCTTTAGCCCCATGACATCCCCTGGGCTGGGCTCCGGCAGCCCCCGCCATCCCTGGATCCGCGGCAGCAGCGCATCCCTGCGGGGACCGCCCGCTTCTCCTCTTCCCCCTTCACAGACACAACCAATTCCCCGCTACGGAGCGGCACCGCGCTCCAGGGCCGCATTCCCCCGCCACAACGCCCCGCTAACCGCGCTACCGCAGCCCCGCTCCCGCCCGCAGCGCATCCCCCGCTCCGCCCTTCCCGCCGCTCCAAGGTGACCGCCGCCCCTCACCCGCCGGGTGGTTGTAGAAGGGCCGGAACCGCGGCGGCAGCATCAGCTCGATGCGGTCCAGCATGCGGTGGTAGGAGGCGCGGAGCCCCGCGGCGGCGGCCGCCATGGCGAGGCGCGGGGCGAGCGGGGGGCGAGCGGGGCCGCGTCCGTCCGTCCGTCCGTCCGCGCGTCCTTCCTCCGCCAAGCCCCGCCCCCCGGACCGGCCCACCGGCGGCCCGCGCTCTGATTGGTCATGGCTGCAGGGGGCGGGGCGGGGCGGAGAGCTGCGCGCCGCGCTATTGGCTGAGCGCGCTGGCCCGGGCACCTGGGGAGAGCTGGCGCGCCCGCCGCCCTCGCAAGGGCACGGGCGCCCGGCTCAGAGATGGCCGCCTGCGCTTCGCTCTCCCCTCAACATGGCCGCCGCGGGGGAGCCCTGCGCGGCGAGTAATGCGCCCGAAGCCAAGATGGCCGCCCTGCGGCTTCACACCGCTTCACTGGGCGGGGGGGGTTTCTTCCCGGCGCGCTGACGTCACCGTCCCCGCCCACGACGCGCCCTCCCCTCAGTCGGGGCGGGGCGACGTCACCGGCTCGCGCGAGACGCCCATTAACCTCGGGCGCCCCTCCCGCCCGGTGGGCGTGGCCTTTCCCCCGCGGCCGGGGTGGGCGTGTCCCCGCGCGCGGTGGGCGTGGCCCGGACCCTCCCGCGCCTCGCGCGCGCGTGCGCGCCCGGCCGGTCGCGCGCATCCCCGCTCGGCGCGCGCGGGGCCATGTCCCGCGGGCGCTGCCCGCACCTGCTGTGGGACGTGCGGAAGCGGAGCCTGGGGCTGGAGGAGCCCGGCTTGCTGCGCAGGCACTACCTCGGTAAGGACGGGCGCTGCGGCGGAAAGGGCGGGGGGGCGGGCGAGTCCTTGGCGCCCCACCGAGCCAGGAGGGCGCCCGGAGCCCCTTCCGCCGTCCCGCGGCCGCGAAGTTGCCGGCGCCCCGTGTGGGGCGGCGACGCCTCCGACTAATCCGCTCCCGGCCCCCGCGCCCTGAGGGGTGCCCTGAGGGGTGCTGCGGGACACCTGCCGGGCCCCGCCAGGAACCCCCGGCCCCTCGCTTCCCAAAGGAACTGTTGCTCGCCGAGATCCAGCCGGGAAGTTGGGCGGCGGCTCCGCACGGCTCCGGGGCCGGGCAGCGTCCGGGTTTAGCGGCGCTGGGCTGCCGGGCGCTGGGAACAAAGCACGTAGGCGCCTCCGGGAGCGGGGTGTTCCCGGGGCTCCGGGGGAAGCCGGGCCCATCCGCCCGCCCTTGGTGTCCCCGGGAGCTCCGCGGGGTCCCCGCGCTGCCCTCGGCTCCGCGCCCCAGCCCGGCGTTTCCACTTCCCAAGTTCGAGCCAGCGCCACTTTCAGCTCCCGAGGCCGCGGGGAGGTTCCCGTGGCGTGGAGAGCTATCCGTGTTCTTTGTCATGGCGCAGGTTCTGTAAAAAAAAACGGTGCAAAAATGAATGTTTTGAAGCGCCGGTGTTTATTCACGTGTTTTCGGAGGTCCGCTGTGGGTTTGCGGGGTGTCTCTCCGGGGTGGATGGCTCGGGAACGCGTTCTTTTGTGCTCGTGTGGCACAACAATTCCTGCCTTGGAGTGGAAACCTCGAGTACTCGAGATGGAGCTTGATTTACAGCGTTGTAAAACGAGCGTCGATCCGTGCCTGCCAGGCTTTCCCGGCTGTGCTCGGTGGCAATGGCCTGTCGTTTGGTTTTTTTCCTGGTGGAATTTAAGGTGGGATATCACGTTGCCGAGCCTAACTCGGGAGTTTTCTGTCTGTAGTCCCTGAACGCTCAGTAATTCACAAAAGGTTAATCTAGGAAATCAAGGGTATTGCTGGTAGGTTTCTACAGAGAGGGGTGTGTGTGTGCAGTGCACAAGTGCCTTGGAAAGAAATTTTGAGTCCTAAAATAAAATATTAAAAAAAAAAAAGAGAACTAACGATCTAGCTACTTTTGATTTTGGTTATGTCTCAAGCTGTGCTTGGCCAAGCCTTAGCTGAGGATTGTTCTAACTTTTAGTGATCAGTCCTTCTGACTCGATTTTTTTTTTCTTTTTGACTGCTCCAGTGGGAGCAGAAAAGCTCAATGTTAAAATCAGGACTGTAGTGTGCAGATTCTGAAGAAGCACCTTTTTTTTTTTTTTAAGAAGACGTTTGTAGGTTTTTTTCTTCTGCTTTTACGTGGTTGTGTCTCTGAGAGTTGAAGTACTAAGATTTGAACAGTAGAAATCATCTTTTCGGGATGCTGCTCCAATAAAATGCACTTAACTTTAGTTAAAAACAAAACTGGTGCCTTGGTTAAGGGCTCATATTTACTGTTCTTCCTTTCACCTAAACGAGCTCAGTTGTTTGAAAGCCTTGAAAAAATAGGGGCTAGGAGAGCCTTCCCATGGAATTGCTGTTGAGATCTGCATTGGTGGTGGCAAGAAATGCTCAGTCCTTACTGACTCCTGCTTTTCACCATGGACTTGGTACAGGGTGCCCTTCTTTTGTGGAACCACTGCACTTTTACCCCAAATGGCCTTTATGGCCTTAATAAACCCACTGATTTGGCTGCTACTCAGGTGTGGTTGTTCAAGTGCAGATTTTCCAGAGAAGAGATCTGCTGTTGTGGGCAGGGCAGGGCAGGGCAGGTGTGGGTTTTTTCTCTTTCAGAATTGAGCAGCTCTGTGTAGGAGCTTTGTTCTCTGGCCCACTGGTCAAGACTGCAGTGGCCAGCTGGGTGCCACTGGGTGTTGGTCACTGCTGGTCTGATCTGCGTGGGAAGTAAGGCTTCTTCCTATTTATAATTTCTTTTTTTTAGTAGTGTTTCAACGGTCTGGCAGACAGAACAAATGGAGGACAGGAATTGTCCATGCGCATTGTCCATGTGCATTTTTTTTTTTCCTTTGGGCAAAGTTTTTTGCAAATTTATCTAAGCAGTTATGGAGTCAAGTACAAAATGAAGCAGTTTATATATCTCTTCTTTGCTTGCTGTGCTTTTTCAGCCACCAAATCAAAGGAAAATTGTTATGGCAAGTCCAGGACTAACAATGCAGTTGGGAGGAAGATGTGTCTGTGTGGATGGTCCTTAATGAGCCCTTTGCTGGGATGGTTGTGTTGTGCTTCAGTGTAAAATATCAGAAATATCGACAGTGACCATGTTTTGCAGTAAGACATCTGAGAACTAATTGCTGTTTCCTATTTACTCAGTGTTTTAGTTTCATGTGAACTGGCAATCAAGTGGCACTCTATAAATAGCCTCTCTCAGCTTCTGAAAACAGCTGCTCCAGGAAGGATCTGTGTAATGTACCTTTCCACGCAGATAGCTCACCCCTGGAATTTATGGCCTTGCAAAAACTCTGTCTGATTTTGCAAAATCTCTAAATAATTTCTCTGAAGCCCAGTCAGTTCTGGACAGAGTTTCAGAGAAACACCTCATGAGGATAGAGCCGTAGGTGCATCCCTGGGATGTGTCCTTCAGATGTTATCCCTTGGTGAGAGCTCCTGCTGTGATGAGAGAGGGAAGATGTGGGTCTCAGCAATGTATCTGTTAGCTACCTTTCCTTCAGTATTTGTAGGCTAATTAGCCTCAGTTTTTGTATTTGAGGTCTCCAGAGGAAGGCAGGCCTGGGGGAGGCTGTCAGTAACTCTCTTTTCTTTAATCCAGTTTAGGCATCCTCTTAGCCTGGTGCTGGTGGGATCCAGCCTGCTACTGGATCACAGATGGAAACTGAGTTTCAGACTGCTTTCAGTAGCGCCTGGCCGTGCTTTCACCCTGAAAAACATTGGTGCAAACTGTAGTATCCAAGTTAAATTCTGCCTTGAAGCTGGCAAGTGTAATTACTCAGGTTACTTTCACAGGAATTTCCAAGTCTTGCAATTTTGTATCATTGTGGCAATGTTTCATCCGCCAGTGAACAAACCTGTGCTGGCTGCAGGTCAAGTGTTCTGTGCCAGCACAATAAAGGCCTCTGTGTGGATTAAATATAGCATATAACGATTTGGCTAGAGAAATGGCAGCACGGGTTTCTTGCAAAAAGAGGGATCCATAATTCCTCTGAAGTATTTAATGTGATGAGTTTATTTGCTTTTCTGTGAAGGGTCCTGCTGCCGAGAATGGCTCTGTTCAGACAGCAAAAAGAATGAAGACTTTTCCTTTTTATTTTTGTTTTGGGGTTTTTGTTTGAGTGGTTTATTTTTGCTGTCTGACAAAGCAGGTTATCAAGAGAAAGTCAGTTTAAAAGGAGAGGAACTGATGCTGTATTCTAGCTCAGAGTGGTGGTTGGAAGCTGTGGTGCTTGATACAATGGAAGCAAATAATAAAATAATCAGCTCTCCCCAATCTCTGATATATTCATGCAGATACTATTTTCTGAAATCTTCGTTCCTTCTTTTTGTTTTGAGCTTAGCATATATCTTAGAGATAGCATTGTGGTGCTTTCCCATGAGCTTTCACTCCTCCTTCTTTAAAGATTGTTTCATACCTTACTAAATTTTTATCATTCTGGTTTTCAAGATTTGGGAAAAGTTTGAAGCCTGTAAAAAACTCACTGTAAGGAAACCAGTAGTTAGGTTCATTGTGATCAAATTTTGTAAAGCTTCAGCCATTCTTATTAAAAGAGATCCATGAATATTTGTATGTAGGGAGAACCTACTGAACTACTTAGGTTTCAATAGTTCTCCCTCTTTATAGGGATGAACCACAGTAACCCCAGAGCTAATTACAGTTTTGAAGTTAGTTGACTGCCCTGCCCATAAGTAGGGTTGAAAAACAAGCAAGAATAGCTTTATAACTGCTTAGTTTGGATATTGACTGCCTTCCATTCATGCCAGTTTATAAAACTGTTAGTGGCTGGTTGAATGAACATAGAATTGGGCGTTGCTGTTGAACATTTGGTATTTCCTAAAATACATTGCCCAGAGTGTAAGAGTGCAATTAAAATACTTCCTTAAAATACTGTAAATGTTCATTCTCTCTTTTGCATTTCTTGGTTAAACAAACCAACCAAACCCAGCAGAATGGAAACTTGAATGCTGGGGAGAACAACGAAAAAGACCTTATTTTCTCCAGTTTTTGCTCCAGCTATATTTTAACATGTGGTATCTTGATCTTTGAAAATAGTGCAGAGCAGGAAGGAAGGGTCAGACAGCTTTAATATGATCAGCTTTGTAGCTGGTGCTCTTGCCAACTTGGAGATGGGCAGAGTATTTAATCAGCCTTTCTTCTTCAATTCTTTGCATTATACTTTTGATGTTTAGTGTTTTGGTTGTTTTTTTTTTTTTTCTTTCTTTTTTTCCTGGTACACTCTTATATTTCATGCCCTAAAGCTCTGGAATTAATTTTCTTTTCTACCATGAGTTAAAAACACTCATCTGTCACAGTTAAGCTCCAGACCTGGTAGAGGTGTTCTAGTTATTTTTTTCTGCAAGTCTAACAGATTAACTGCTGCTTGAAAAAGAAGCATTATAAATGTACCTGATGGTGTGATTATGAGAGCACAGTTCTGTAGTGATATGTTCTATTACACATCAAATACTTTGTGAAACTTGACTAACTGAACTGTTTAGAAAGATGTAAGTGAACTCTTCAGATTTTTTCGTTAGAAATGTTTTCTGAATAATAGAAATAGGCAGAGGCAGAATTGAAATTCACTGTGTAATGAATGAGTTGGAGGAAAACAAATCTGTGGAACAGTTTCTACGTGCTCAGTCTAATATTGGAAGGAGGCAGGAAGCATTAGGAAGGCAGGAAATTTGGTGTAGTCATTGGATCTTCACTGGTTGTATAGAAAAGCTTAAGATGCTTAAAAACATTGCAGAAAAGAGATGTAACTTTTTAATTGAAAAATCCACAAGAGAGGATAGTGATCAGGTATTGCCTTAAACTGGATATCATTGGAGTTTTTTCCCCTTGTTAATAAAATCAAGGCTTAGTGACTACAGTCCTTAAAAAATTAGATGGGCTCTTGAAAGAACAATGTGGCATTGAGACCTGTTGATAACAAATTGAATTTGGAGGAGTTTAATAAAGAGACTGTGTCTGAAATGAATTCCCTGATACTATCTCATTTAAATTGGTACCAAGGAGCAGAAAGGCACTATATGTATGTCTAAAACAGCTTGTAGGAAAATATATGAGGGGTGATCCTAGCATACAGGATTAATGATTTTTTTTTCCTACTTCAAAGTAAATCAGCTCAGATAATAAAGACACCCATTTTAAAGCCTTTAATGTTGGTAAAGGATAATAAAAGCACAGTGTAACAGAATCATCTGGACAAAACAACAAATAAAAACATGCTGGCTGCTAATAATTTAGTACATATCAGAAAAGCAGAAAGAGATGTGAGCTGGGAGGAAGGATTAAGGTTAGATGAGTATTTCTGTGGCCTGAGTGCTGAATGCTTGGTTTTAATTTCAGTCTAATCAGCCTTCTGTTATCGTTGGGCTTATTTCAAGCATACACTAACTGAGCTATGGAGTGGAGGACAGGAGCCACTTGGACCTGCAAGTGGTACAGCCATGTAGCATTAATCTAGGTAAATTTGATAGCTTGTTTTGCTGTTATCTCAGAAATCTTTGCATGTAGTTGATATCATTGACCTTTTTTCAGTTACATCTTCCTGTGTGTTTTGTGGTTTAATTGTTATGGTTTGTTACTGCTTCTTTCTCCATAGTGTTGTCCCATTTTACTTCCATTCAGTAATGATGTGTTGATGATCATTTTTGTGTATTTTCTTTTTTTAAAAAAAGGAAAAATTACATGCAGGGTCTGGGATTACTTGGTGCCTTCTGTCCTGAAATAAGAGAATGATTTCCAATGGCTGTTTTTAGGATGCTGGGGATTCATAGTAGCACAGCTTCTGGTTTTTTATGTACAAACACCAGTTTGTGTAAAACTGTAGACCCTTATGGATTACATTATTATGTTCTTTGGTGGGATTACTTTGCAGAAACCTGCTTTTTGGGTTTTGCTTTTTCTTTTTTCTTAAAAAAAAAATACTACTGCCTAGATCAGAACTTATCAGTGAACCTACTTACTGAGTTTTGATGTTTTAATTTTCTAAACCACCAACTGTTTTGCTGCTGTAACATTTGGACATATTAATTAAAATGAAAGGTGGCTTTCTGGCATTATATTTGGCCAGAAAGAAATGATGAAAAATTGGTATAACTGTTTCAGACTGTTGATTTTCTGTCCTTCAGAAATTCAGGAGGCCTTTCTGGTTGTCTGCAGATTTGTCATAATTTCTTCAAATGGACAGAACTATGCAGATGTACTTTTTTATTTTAAGGGATTAACCTTATGTGTAATATCTGTTATTAACAGAACATGAATCATGTGTGTTAATGGCTGCCAGGTAGTAGGAGTGTGTGTAAGTGGGTTGTGGTTCCAAGGCTTTGCATGCATTATAATATTTGAAATATATTCAGTCTTAGGATGCACATGTATTTACTTTTATCCTTTGCAGCCTCAGTGTTCTTCTGCAGACAGCTGGAGACTGCAGACATTTGTGTGCACTTCTACTATATTTTCATTTTTGATTGCAATATTTTGTTGCATTTACATTGTGTGCTTTTAAAGACTGGCTTTGTGCAGGAAATGTTTGCTTTGTAAATGACTGCCTGCCTTGATGCTGAGTGTTTCAGACAGCTTCGTGGTTAAGTTGTACCTTGATCTTCTAATAATGAGCTTTGGATACATGAAAGCTGTCTCTCGCTGCAAAAACAAGTCGTGTACAGCATGTACTGGATTTGTATTTCAGGATGAGGCGGTGATGTGAGAGATCCTTTAGATCTCTTTCCTTTATTTATTTTTTTAATTTTTTTCCTCCCATAGCTTTCTTCCAGTTGGATTGCTTCCATTAACTGCATTAGGGCAGGCCATTAAACCTGCCTGTGTTCAGTCACTTCCAAGATGTTGCACTGCAACTTTGTGAGTTCTTGTGACTTTGCATGTGATTCCTGATCTTCTATCCTTGAGTGTCCCCAGAATAGTCTAGTGGGATATAACTGATCATGTATCAAGAACCTGTTGACACTTGAGACCAGTCCTGTCCTGGCACTAAGGAAAAGGATCAGTTCAGACACAAACTATGCCAGCCTTTGAACAAAGCTGGATTTTTCACTGTTTGAGTGCAATTCTTGGCTTTTCGTGTCTTTGGAGCTTGGTGAGCTGCTGATTCAGATGTGTCCCAAGTGCTCTAGTGCGTGTTGAATCATTAAATATTGAATACGAACATCGTGAGATGGAATCTGAGTCACATCAGTGGATTTTAACAACCCCTTATTTTCCTCATCTTGTTCTTCAAGGATTTGCAGGCTTGCCTCTGGGAAGGTTGAGTGTGTCATTAATGCTGACTGCTCTCTGATATCGTGGCCAAGATGAGAATCTGTCCCTTTTCTTCCCTGTGAACTTCATGTGCTCTGAACCATCAGTGTTTGTTCAACCCTTTTTGAACTACTGAAACTTCACCAAAATAAAAACCTGTTAAAAATTAAAGCCTATTAAAACCCACCTCTGTATTTAGGTTGCATTGCTTTGTTACAGTTATTGTAGTGTGTTCCTGTTATTTACCTTTCTAGGAAATGAGGAAAAAATCTGGTTCCTTTTAAATTTGTTTTTATTTTAAAAACACTGTTGTGTCCTGAGAACTCTCTTCAGTAAAAAAAAGAGTCTTGGAGTTAAACAGGTTGTTTTTTGTTACCTAGGATGAATACATATAGTTTAATGCAACAGGCAATGTTATTTTTAAAAGGGTTTTTTTTTCCCATTTGTTTTTAAACAAAGGGGATTTAAAAGGGTTTTTTTTCCCCACTTGTTTTTAAATGCCCAGTTATAATTTAACCTATGCCAGTACGCTGTTAACAGTCATCTACCATCAAGACTCGGCTTTCTACTTGAGCACAACTTTTGATATAATCTTTATTTAATCCTGGGCAGTTTCCTGGTGTTTACATTTGTGATCTTAGAGGGTTATGACCCATATGTGTTATGGTATCTATATATCTATTTCCTGAGTTCCCCCAAACAAACCCAGCAGTGTACAATTCCTATATTAGCAGGATTAAATGGTATGCTAAATTAGGCAGGTGTGCAGAATGTTAAATGCCTTAATTCAGTTCCGCGCTGTCCAAGTTATCAATTTCATTTGTGGAAAAGTCAGGCCCTAGGGTGTTTCTTTGCTAGAAGACATGTCTGTAGATATGCTGGTAAGCTTCTGTATAATCACTTCTTAATCTGTTTAAAGATGAGTATTGAGTTAGCTTAAACAACTTTAAATAGTAGGCTTTGATTTTGCCTGGAGCCTTTGTCTGGAACTGCTGGGGTTAGTCCTGCTGGCAGAGTGGGAGAAGCAGCAGCCCCTGGCAGGCACTGGAAGGTGATGGCAGGACTGGTGACAGTGGGGGCACACACCTCCTCAGCAGGAAAGAGGATATTCCTCTAGGAATGCTCTCTTAAAAGCAGATTCAACTTTTTCTTTCCTTCTCCTAGCCATTCTGCATGCTCCAGTGTTCATTTTGCCTGAGTGCTTGGAAGTGGGAGACGCTGGTTCTGCTACGAGCAATTTTAACTTCTGCACTGGGGTGGAGCAGCACTGCATTTCAGCTTCCTAGATACCATCTTTTCCTGCTGGGAGGTGGAGCTCCTCATGAACCTTGGGTGTCACAGTGCTCAGTAGTACCTGAGAACATAAAGCAGAGTTCCTGATGTGTATTCCCCCAAGTGTTGTTAAGGATCGGCTGGGTTATTACATTGATGTCATTTTTATAAAAGTATTCAACATTGCTCCCCACATAGTTTCAGATGAAGACTTTTAAAAGTCAAAGGAAAGCATTTCCAAAGACATATTGAAACCTACAGTAATGCTGTTTACTCCAACTTGCAACAATCTGCATAATATTTATTTTTGCCTTCAGTTAATAGAAGCCTCCTTTGGCTTCTCTTTGGAGAAGAAAGCAGGGCACAAGTGTATTTTCTCGATCTGGTAACTATTATTTTTGTGTTGGTATCTGTTTTAGAATTTCGAGGTGTTTCTTTGGGAGTCCTATTTTAGTGCTGGTGGAGAAAACAGCAAAAGCTTTTGCATGTAGTTAATCCTACATCCAGTTAATCACTTAAGCTACACCAGATAGTTTTCTGTTGAGAGGAGTAGGGTGGTATGTGTTGTCTTTTACATAGACAGAGCTTCTCTTAGTTTTGTCACATGAATGTTGTCCTCTGCTTTATAGAAATATTTGTGGCATAATAGAAAAATTTCAAGTGTCTTTTGTCTCAGTGAGTAGTTTGTATTTCATCATCAGACTACTTTAAAGGATTTAATAAATGTCAAAATTGCTGAAATCTGGTTTATTTTTCCTCCTGTCACAAAACCTCACTTGCTGTCTGAGGCAAGAACAATACAGAAGACTTAAATATGGGCAGTGCAAGGGGAAGTGTAAGGATATCTGTCAGAATGTGGTGTACTTGTGAATGAAATGCACTTAGCACCAGTCAGTACAGCACAGATAACGTGCCTTCTCTGAAAAAGGTACTTGTACTTTATCCCACATTTTTTGTCACTGAGAACACCTTAAACACTTTGTATTAATGTAGCTGAATTTTATGAAATCTTTCAGGCATAAACCATGGTAAATATCAAACAGAAATCAATGACACTGTTTTAAAGCCCAAATACTTGTAACATTACCAGTTATGGAGCCCAGTGGAGGCTTATATTTGGGAGTGGATACTTTCAGTATCCAAAAGATGTTTCAAAGTTAATTACAGCCATTAGTGCTAACCAAACACATCTTATGCATGATCTTACCTACAGTAACCTATTTTTGCAGGTTCTCTAGAAGCAAACCTAAACAGAATGGTTTTTCAAAATGCTTATTTATTACCCTAAAATGTATAACATTGCTGAACTATTTTTTTTTCCTGAAACTTGAGTAGATCTCTTTTTTGGATTTGTTTGGGTTTTTGTTTGGTTTTTTGTTTTTGTTGTTTGTGGGTTTTTTGAGATCAGATTTTGTATTAATGTACTCACCAAGAGATATTATAGGCTTGCTGATTTATAATTTAGGGCATAGTGTCCTGTCTTCTGTAGTTTCTCTCTTGGTGTTATAATATCTGAAATTTTGTGTTTCTTAATACCTAAAGCTCATTACTTAAGCCTATCTTAGGATTTGAGTACAGGCTTGATTAGCACCCAGTTATTTGATGCTGGCTGGTTAGTAGCAAAACTCACATATTAAAATGGCAAAGAAGTCTCTTTGTAGACAATAAAAAATATTTTGTGTTTTCTTTGTAGTGTTCATTCTTTCAGGCTTTGTGATGTATCATTATGAACAAAGAATAATTTTAGTTATCTGCTTTGAACTTAAACTATAATGAAATAGTTGATCATAGTCTCTTGAAAAGTAGTCTTTTAAACATTGACAGAGCTAAGAGTTATAATTTTTTGGCATTTTTGCAGTACTGCAGAAGAGTGAAGAAATATAACACAGAGCCTTATTTGAAGGATTTGAGATCACACCCATGGATTTGTTTCTGGCAGTACTGCTGGTTCACTCTTTCCTTTGATAAATTGCTTGAGCCTATGTCACAATGACTATAAAATAGGGCCAGTGTTGGCCTACATAGCTAACAAGGGATTTCTAAGGTAGTAATTTATCTTCAAGAATTTTAACTTACCTTGATGGAAATTAATTCAGTGCTTATTGTGTATAGTCCTGTTTGCTTTATAGTATATGGAGAATTCTGGTTGCTGGAAAAATTGTGGTTAGATGTGGATCAGAAGAGTTTTATGTAGTTAATCCAGCCAAATGAGCTATATACAAATGGGGTTACTTCAGAAATGCCTAAACTGTACCTTTGAAAACCAAGAGAAGTTTTGAAATGCACTCAGAGTGCAGGATAACATGTGCTCTGCATTGGGAACAGATGCTGGCTCCATTTCAGCTTTAAACTAGGGCATTCCAAATGTCACAGCAAGCCAGCGCTGAGGGACTTGGCCTTGCAAAGAGCCAGCTTGATATAAATGAGTGTTCATTTGATAAATGGGGTCTATTACTGAATAAGGGCTGTCTTTTAATGTCTTATCCTATGTTGGTGCTGCTTTGGATCAAAGTTAAGTTAATATTTCTGTGGAGCACAAGTGTGCTTTAAAGCTAAATCTTCATCACTAAATGATCTGTACTTCTTCAAGGGGAAATTTTGGAGCCCAGTTTTAAATATATGAAGGTTTTGCATGCTTGAAGCGTCTAACTTGTGTGCTGTCATCAGTTCTGAAACAACTTTGACTAAGTTAGAAAAGAAAGATATGTGTGTCTCTGCCAAAACAGGCACATAGAAAGCACCTGATCAGCAATTCTTAAACTGAGGATTGTGACCTAAATGGTGTCGTGAGGACTGTGAGTGGGGAGTGCAAGGGATGCTGTTTTATTTTGGTATTGCTCCCTGAAGTGAGATTAGAGCTCTGCCCAGACACCCAGGCTGGGTAATTCTCCAAGTGGGAGTTGCAAGGCAGCGTTTGGCTTGACCTTGTGCACAGTGGATGTTTTGAAGAAACAAAGTTACAAAGAAACAGCTGCAGCTTCTCATTCACCTGCTTTCTCATATTTAAATTTGTATCATGAACGACTCAAGGTGGGGCTTCTTTCATACACAGAATGGTCCCTAAGTCTCCAGCTTCGAAAAAAATTATTGATCACTGCACTGAGAGTTTCACTGTACCTTGAGGCTTCAGTAGTGCACAGTGTTTGGTGAGAATAGGTGCATGGCTAAAAACTGAGAATATTATTGATCGTTGTACTGAGAATAGCACTGAACCTTGAGGCTTCACTTGGTGCATAACTAGTGAAAATGGGTGGGTGGAGCATTAGCTCGACAGCTTTGCAAATTTCAGCTATGTAAACACAGGGCGGTCATCACAGCCATTTGAAATTTCACAGGGCTTATTTTTTTGTTTTGCTTTACCGTGTTCTTGTTAGCAAATTCACCTCTAGCAGTTTTGAACAAACCCCATGTGTCCAGTGAGATAACCTTGGTGATGACAGCTTGATCACTTGATCCATGTCCTAGACCTTATTTGAATATAGGAAGCAATATATTGAAGCACCTTCACAGGATTCTCAGCAAGCACCTGCCTGTTGCTCTGCAGACATCACCTCGTTCCACGTGTATTTTATGCACGTGGTGCAATGGCCAACAATCGTGCACTGCTATCAGATTTTTTTCTGTTCTTCAATGGAAGTGTGGTGTGTCTGGCAAACACTGTATTTTTGTGTTGATCTGTGGAGTATACAATTCTTAATTAAATTGTCCTGTTGGAGGTAGTGCATTACTGCTCTGTATTTTGCATTACAGGAGTACCCCAGAAGCAAATTTTAAAGTTTATTATGCAAAGTGATACCTGAGCATGCAGCAGGTGATATTTCACACCTCAGTATTCACATTTACTTACAAGCAATTGAAAAAATCAAATTAACTTCAAAGTAGGAATCTTCATTGAAAACACAGAAATCATTTGA